TGCTCGAGTGTTGGCTTTGACGGACCGGCGAGGATCCGTTCGCGCGCCTGTTGGATTTCGCGTGCAGCTAGACGCTGCTCGAAGTTGGCCTTGTCAGTTGCGTAGCGCTCGCGGAACTGTTCGCGACGTAGGCGCCTACCCTCGTGTGAGTTCGGTGGGAACGGGAGAGTGAGCGCTGGAGTCGGCGGGCGTAGTTCTTTGCCGCAGCGTTTACCGTACGGGACAGTCTCGACGGGGTCGTTGGCGTTGCCGGAGGCGGGCGCGTAGCCGGCGGAGTGCTTGTACCGCTGGAAAACGGAGTGAGGGGGACGAGCAGGCAAATCCTTTGGCACTAGAAATTACGCAGGAATGAACGCGTGAGCGCTCCGTCTGCCACTAGCACGCAACGAGACTTACTCGTAAACTGCGTGGATAAACTTGTTTTAAACTGGGTGAAGGGGACCGAGGTTTCCCGAGGGGTCTTCTTCAGCAATGAGACTAGTAGAGTGGGGGTAGAGTGGCCGTGAGGCCGGGGCTCATAACCTGTTAAAGTGCGACTGAACTCTTGCTTTATTCTGTGTTACAGGGCCAGTATATATACATGTGAGTCAGGACCTCTGATACCGCTATAAGACCTATGGTACTGTGAGCGTAAGCATGTATACTAAGCATGAGTAATCAGATGTCGTATTACTACAAGATAATAGAGGGATCATGTGATGATATCCCCATTAATCCGTACAGGGCAATGACGTAATCGTCCAAGTTCTGACACTAGGTACAGTGGTTGTGGAGATACGGAGGGATTATAACACCCCTTTGTAGTGTTGTGTGTTATTTTTGGCGGCCACTGTACATACCACTCCTCAATTGGGACACTGCACCACTCCTTGGGACACGCCACTTTCTGTCCTCGCACAGCCTGTAGGGCCTATCGTTGCTACTTTCCTGTATATAATAAATCTATCTCTATATGACATTCTCAAAAATTGGAGCCGTCCGGTGATTGTAGCGTAAGTGGGGGAGCAAAAAGCGTCGAAAATTATCAAGCGCGCCGGTTTGGGTGATGCTGAGACCGTCACCGGAGTCGCACAGTGAGCCTAAAATTTGTGAAAATATTCACTAACACTCAATTTTATGCTCCATTTATGTGAAAAATGTGCATAATTCTCAAATGTTAAGTGCCGAGCTAGAATCCATCGGGCATGATTCCACCGAGCTTAGGCGTGACTGAGGCGTGACAGGTCTGTGCTGCGTGACTGCCGCGTCAGCCAAGACTGCTGGTGTAGGTCACAAACTGTCACTTATATCACATTAGTCACGGAGTGGTAGTCGCTGTCCTGGACCACCTCAGTTTTGTGTCCTTCCCATTGACCTCAGATTTCATCTTTTCGCCTTGCGGCTTCGCACTGAGCAGTTTTATATGTTATAGTACTATAATGTAAATTTTTAAATATTTGTATGTGAGAGATATACGAAAGGGAAGCAAGTTTTGATCAGGTGTCCCAAGGAGTGGTCCTATACACCCACTTTCACTGATCGCAGCCACAGCTTAGGATGTCGTTGAGGCTTGATGAGGACATAAATAAACCACACAAGGGTCGCAAGTAATATCTCTCCTGAGGTACTACATACACCCTGCCTAGGTCCTGCACTACCCGGCGGACAGACTCCCCTCATTAAAATTAAAAGCTCCTCAGTCATATACTGTATTCTAACCAGAGCATGAGCACATGAGGTTCTTCGTTCTATTCATGTACCTCTTTTGCCTCGCATCGCGAAAGTGAAGCACCATTTTTCCTCGCAGGGCATTATTCTCTCTTCGCCCCAGGTGAGGACAAAGTTCAGCTTGCCATACCTCCATCTAGTTCGCGCTGCATACCAACAGTGAGTTTCGGAGATGTCAAGAAAAAGGCTACCGTACAGGCGGATATAATCAAATCGTCATCTTCGATTATGATGCATTCAGGCAGGGCTCGCTGCAAGTGTGCGATGACAAGCTTCACGATTACTGACTGAGTGCTATTCGTCAGAGCTGCGTATATGCGCTCGATCTTCCCCGGGCGCACCGAGATCTCAAGCTCTTTGGTGGCATAAATACGTTCCACATCTTCGCGATGCTCTCTGCGGGCTTATAGTCAGGCTGAGACGTAACGGACATGTTGGATGCTAGACAGACCGATCCTGGACCTTCATATTCATCTGCACGGCGCAAGGCGCTGAAAGGCCGGTGTCGTCCGGATGGAAGAAAACAACCTTTGTGTGATTGAGGGGCAAAACTATGGTAGTGTTGTTTGGGAACATGGGTGCACAATGACTGTGGAGGTGCTCGCTTGTCCCATCGACGTCGATGACAGTAGCGCTGAGCTGTCAACAGCGTCTGACGAAAGCAAGGGCGCATCGGGAACAGCAGTGGGCACGGTCCCAGCAGTTTTGCCACTCGTCAACCCGAACGAACAACTTAACAGTGCCCATCCGGAGGTCAGCAGGCATTACATTCAGTATACGGACCCTTCACAGCCTGGGATCTCTCACTACGGATGAACGTTCAAACAAAGATTCGACGAGTCCGGGCCAGCACTCGTGACGCGAAGATTCTCATCTAATCTCAGGGATTGGCGGGTAAAAACACCCGGAGATAGGAGCAGCAGGACTTGCATATGCTAGGCCATATCTCTTCCGACGTAGGAGTGCATTGGTTCTAACAATAGCCTCGTCATTGGCTGAAGGCGCACCATAATGTCGACGGCTAAGGGACGCACCAAAAGTTGAGCTTCGGTGAGAAACCCTGCAGGTGGGATATCAGATCTAACCAGGATCCTCGATCTCGTCCCGGGAATATCTGTACCATTCAAGGGCAGAGAAGCCTGTTATCAGTAGGCTTGCATGCGGTCAAGCCTACCGGGAGCGCATAGGAATTGTGGGCATTGACCGGTATGCACTGCAACAACTGTATGTCAGGCACTAGCTTACAGAAGCAGCGGGATGTGCACTCATTGCTACCGTGCAAAAAGGTCACAGGGCGAGAAACCGAATTCGTCTGTAGCTCGCTGTATAAGACACCACAGCCGTGAGAGGGAGTAGAGACAAGGTCGGTCTCCACTTTCTTCGCCAAGATGTACGCCCTACCACTCCCCCGGCTCCTTCTCTTAACGTTCGCCTGGACGTCTATAACTCTTGGCCCCGTCCTCAGTCACGCTGTGAAGTCCCCCTTGGTCTCGCGGGATAACGACGCTCAATGCTCTCTCACCGCTGCCTGGCCGCCAGGACAGGGCAGCGCGCTCGTCCCGCAACAGCCGCAAACCGACCTTCTGAACATCATCTCGCAAATCGACCCGTCGCGCATCGAGACGATCATCACCAAGCTCGTTTCCTTTGGCACACGGCACACGCTCTCGAACCAGACAGACCCGGTGCGCGGGATCGGCGCGGCGCGCGACTGGATCGCGAGCGAGATGCGCACGCTCGCCGCCGCAGCGCGCAACGGCACGAACGTCGCCGTGAGCACGCCGAGCTTCATCGAGCCCGTCGCAAGCGGAATTCTCTTCCCCGTGAACATTACCAACATCATCGCTACCATCGAGGGCACGGACGAGCCCGACCGGGTGTACATTATCACGGGTCACTATGACTCGCGCGTCACGGACCTGGACAACTTCACGGATGATGCACCGGGCGCGGACGACGATGGCAGCGGCGTTGCGGTCATTATGGAGCTGACGCGCCTCATGGCGCAGATGCCTCCGCCGCGCGCTACCATTATGCTTGGTGCCGTGGCCGGCGAGGAGCAAGGACTGTATGGGTCCGCGTTCTTTGCGCAGCAGATGGTGGAGGCCGGGAAGGACGTGCAGGGAATGTTCACCAACGACATCGTGGGGAGCCCGAAGGGCGACGACGGCTTCGTCGACCCAAATAGCATTCGGCTGTTCGGCCAGGGCATTCCTTCGACAGAGAACGCGTCAGTGGTGGCAGAGCGGGAGTCGATTGGAGGAGAGAATGATTCGCCAGCCCGTGAGCTCGTCAGGTTCACGCAAGAGGTCGCGTCAAACTCAGGGACTGGAATGAGTGGTATGGTCGTTGGCATCGCTTATGATAAACGGACTTGCTAACATGTCCACCCTCTAGTCCGCGTCATCTACCGCGCTGACCGCTTCCTGCGTGGAGGCGACCACGAGCCGTTCCTCTCTGCGGGCTTCCCTGCGGCGCGCTTCACAGAGCCGCACGAGAACTTCGCGCACCAGCATCAAGACGTCCGTGTACAGGACGGCGAGCAATTCGGCGACCTCACCGAGTTCTGCGACTTCGAATATATCCAGCGGGTCGCTAAGGTCAACGGTGCTGCTATTTGGTCCCTCGCGCAAGCACCCGGCACGCCGCGCGGTGTGACGATCGACACGAGCGTCCTCACAAACAACAGCACGTTGGAGTGGGACCTAGACCCGAGCCCCGCTGTTGCGGGATATGAGATCGTCTGGAGGGCGACGGATGAGCCACTCTGGACAAGCGTTATCCCCGTTGGGCTGGTGAGCCAGGCGACGGTCCAAGTCGTGAAGGATAACGCAATCTTGGGTGTCAGGGCTGTGGGCAAGAACGGGTACCGTAGCCCGGCAACTTTCCCTTTCCCGGCGTAAGTTGCTTCAGCGAACGTGTACATTATGCAGTCACGAAGACATACCAACAACCTCGATGCTATTGAAATCCCCACATAGAAGTCCCGATGAATAAGACCAGGAAGAGACGATCTAATCATTCATCCTGAGCTTCACGTTCTCGCATCTCCCGTTCTAACCTTTCCCTCTCTGCTTGCCTTAGACGCATGAGCGTGATAGACTCGTAGTCGAGGCCCGGAGTATTGCTGCCCAGCGTTGGCCTCTCGAATAGATTAGGCTAATGAAGAAACGAGTTGGGTTAGCCGATAGCCTCGAGAGGGCTAAAAAAGCTTACAAATGATGAAGGGAAGCTTGACGGGAATGTGGAGAACGCGCCGTTACTCGTCGGAGCAGATAGTGTTGCCTCCTGCGGCACGGGCTCCGTTTGCGACTGAGACTGCGACTGCGACCGCGACTCCATAATTATGTCCGAACCCTGTCGGGAGAGTGGCTGCACTGCGCCCAGCTTGCCCATCTTCTTCAGCCATCCGATCAGCTCTGGCTCCTTGCCTTCTGCCCAGGTAATCTCCACTCCTGCTAGACCACGGTCGGCACGACCACTAGCACACACTACACCAAAAGCGTCGCTTATCTGCTTGAAGGGTACAAGAGCCGTGCCTCGCTTGGGTTTCTTCGGCGGTGCAGGTTTTAGCGAGAAGACAATCTCTGAGCTTTCGATTGCGCCGAACGGGGACAAGAGACTGCGGATGTGGTCCGCTGTTGTGATGTCTGGCCGTGCGCCGAGTTGGTATTTGACCTTGACTGTCGTATCGAGAGTGCCTGTATCAGATAAATAAGCCTTTAGGACCAAATGAACATCCAACACGACGACGCACCTAGACTTGGTGGGTCAAGTTCAGCCTGCGCCGCTTTCGCCCTCATCTCCGCCTCTTCAACCTTCTCCCTCAGCTCCCTCTCTTTCTTCTCGCGCAAGATCCTACCTTCCTCCATAAGCCGCTCGTTTTCACGCCACATCTCTTTTTGCTTCTCCTCTTTCTCAACCTTGGTCTTCTTGAAGGCTCGCTCGCGTTCCTCGAGTTCATCAACAAGATTCTTGCGTTTCGCGTCGTACTGTGCGTAGCGTGCCTTGCGGGCTTCCTTGAGCCGCATCTTGGCGTCCAGCGCCATGCGTCGCAGCGGATCGAGCAGTAGCTCGTAGGCTTGGTTGAGCTCATGGAACTTCTTGGCTACGAAAATTCTTCAGCAATCTGCAGACCTACGGCCATAGAAGTAGATTCACACCTGCATCTGGGTTACCACGATTCTATATGAAAGATCGTACACTTAGAGACATTTCTGGCATATGGATGTAAGAGGTACGTGCCCTGTCTGGGTGGACCTTCAGAGACCGCTGACGATACGCGGTCTTGATCTCCTGCTCGGTAGACTCGAGGGGTATTCCTAGGAGCTCATATGGGTTAGGCTCTTCCTCTGACGACATTGCCTCGGCAGGTGGAGGTCGGTGACGAAGAAGCTCGCGCACTGCGTGCGCTTCCGAAATCGTTCATGTCAAGTAAGCGCCGGTGGTAGTGTTGAAGATGCATGCGAAATTGCGAATGTCACATTGATATACGAATAGAAGTACAATGATAGTCTATGCAAAAGTAGAAAAGGCAGTGGTATATAGCAGCCAGTCCCAGATGCTATGGATACAGGAGTGCAGATGAGGGACGCGGTGGTCAGCTTCGCTCATCCCACCGTTCATACGAGTCAGTCGAGAGGCTTTGTTTGTAAGCGTTTTCAACGGTGTCACAGAGGTTTCCCAAGTTTTCAAGGGCCTCCAAAAGCGCCTCAAGTGAGGATAAGTTGTCTGCAAGCAGGCTAAGTCCTCGCCTCTTGACAAGAGCTGGCCAGGGGAAGACGCACCATACATCTGAATGCGCAGGTGGATGTGGTTCTCGGAGGGATGTGGCACGCTATAACATGGGTAAGCGAACGCACAGCAGGGCTAGCGCAGCGGAAGAGTGTCTGTACAGGTCCAACAATGGGACGCTTTGCGCGCAGAAGCACTATCGACCGTGCAGGAATGGAAGGCCCACCTGTAGCCGCAGAACTCCACCTTGGGACTACATGTACATACAGTAAGCGAGTGTAAGTGTGAGAGGGACATGCGCACGCACTTCTTCATGAGCATCCACCTCAGTGAGTTTCCAATGGTATGAGATTCATCATGAATCTGATACGTCGCAGCAGACAAATCGGGTTCTGCACCTTTCAGCTATCGAGAACGGGACTTGTCAGAACAATAAAACGGCACGAATGCAATGAACTCACAATCCTGAGCTTGGGCGGGACCTCGGTCATGATGGCCTGCAAAGTCCATACAGAAATTGTCTAGAGGCAAACTCGGTAGGGAATCGCCAAGTTCGAATTCCGCAAGGCAACAGGCCACAACAAAGTCTCGCGCGCTTATTAAAGCCATTGTGCTTTTCGCCTTCGGAAGTCGCAGCGGGCCTTTGTTGGCGACATGCGCGTGAAAACGCATTGAGCAACGATTTTGCATTGACAACGAAACGCTTGGCAACACGACAATGCTCGCTTGCGCACAGTCTTCCATGGGACGGAGCATTATAAGACCAACGGCACAGCCCGTTGCTCTCCAGCTCCGTTCGCGACTGCATCGCTCGATATATTAAGGACAGGTCCTTCAGCTTCCCTGGCCGAATCAGTATCCGTCGTATACACCCTACGCACGGCTCTCAAGCACCAAGTGACGATGTCAGCGAACGTCTCCCCATCTTCCTCCGATTACTCTCGCCCTACGTTACCTTCACTCCATTCCCTCGGACTCCCACAACTTGTCGCAGGAACTTCAACATTAGCAGATAGTTGTCACGATGAGGAGGTCAGATAGCAACAGCCACCCATCTGATTACGTTAATTCATCCTTTCCTCCAGATTCCTCAACGTGAACTTGGCGATGGTACAACCCGGCAGCGCGCCCGCCAGAATTCCATCTCTTCCATGACATCATCCTGTACGGACACATCCGCACGCTCAGCCTCGCCTTCAGCTTCGGACTCGGGTTTTTCGGAATCCAGCCATACGTCGGCGTCCTCATCGCCAGCCCGTCGTCCCTCCAACTCGTTCCGCCTCGTGCGCAGCACCGTTGAGGAGGCCAACGCCTTCATACTCGTACCAGCTCCAGTGCCCTACGTCGAGAGCATATCGTCTCTTGCACGCGCCAAAGCCCCATCGAACCCAAAGTCACGACAGGCTCGAGCCCTGCTCCTCGTAGGCCCCGCCCTTGAGTACCTCCGGCATCCGAGAGTCCGCATCGCCAAGGGCGCACGAGTGCATCCATATCGTGTAGTTCCTCATTGTTCACGACGTACTGAGATGAGCACTCCCTCTGGTTCTCGGATTTAAAATCTTGGAAGAGACGTGTTGTGTCTCGACGCCGCCTCGCCTCTGTACAAACGGCTGTGACATCTAGATATTGTATACACATACGAGGGAGTAATTGGCATAGACGTACTTGTTTGTTGTATTCACACCTCAGGCTTGAAGTTTATATCTCATCTTCACTGAATGCTACACCTGCCGAATTGGGATGTTGGAGACATGATAGACACGGTCCGTACTCCTGGCTGACAAGGAACGGCGGAGGCAACGCTGCATGATACTCCGCACCGAAAGCCGCACCAAGTGCTCCCACTCGCTTGCATCTTGCCACGTCGCCAAGACTATGGAGAACCTCACACTATGCGTCTCCCGGCCTTCGTCCGGGCAGGACCCGCACAAGCCTGTGCTTGTAAAGTCCCAGCTCCTCGCCAAACTACCGGAGAACCATGTTCTCATCAAAATAGATAGGTTTGGCTTCTCGGCGAACAACATCACCTATCAGGCCTTGGGTGAGGCCCCGCACTTTCGGTGAGCAGACCCCTTGACAGATTTTGCAGCGTCGTAATTATGCCAACACAACCATAGCTATTTTGACTTCCACCTTGCTCCGCGAGCGAATGGAGCGACTCCTGAGACTCACGGACTCATTCCGGTCTGGGGATTCGGTACGGTTGTTGAGTCCTCTCATCCCCGGATCGGGGTCGGGGAACGTGTCTACGGGTATTTCGCCCCAACCAAGTACCTCTTGGTTCCTGTGTCCCCGTCCGACGTAAACAAATTCAGTTTCTACATACCGAGGCCACATTTACCTCCAGGCACGTTGGTTGTTACCTACAGGCTACAACCTGCGCAAGAGAGTTCTGACCTAACTTCATAGACCGCCGGCCCTATAATCAAGTTATTCGTTGTGTGTCAGATGACCAATATGACCCATCACCCCTCGCGGAGGACCTAACGATGCTCTACCGCCCGCTATTCTGGACGGCATTCTGGTGCGAGAACTGGCTCAATGCTTTCAGCTACCGCGGTGCAGACAGCTTCCTGATCTCATCTGCGTCTGCCAAGACGGCATTCTGCCTCGCATACCTCCTCGATAAGCGCAGGAAAGCAGAGGAGAAGGCGATCAAGGTCGTGGGACTCACCTCTGAATGCAACATTGCCTTTACGAGTGGGCTCAAGCTGTACGATTCTATCGTTACGCTGGAGTCGTCCGGTCAGCTGAAGCCCTCGACGGGTAAATGGCTATATATCGACGTTGCTGGCAATGACAAGCTCAACAAGAGGATCGCGGCTCACTTCGGGGGAAGCGGTTCCCTTGTTGCATGTGTGCAACTCGGACTCACGAACCTCTCCCCCTCCGCCCCCGCAGCGTCCTCGACCAAATTCACCACGAACACCACCCTCTCTGCGCCCGACAGGTTGTCGGGTCCGTTCGAGACGGAACAGTTCTTCATGCCGGAGTGGCTCGCGGTCCAGCGGAAGAAGCTGCGCGTGGACGATATCAGGGCGATGCAGACCAAGGCGTGGCAAGGACTCGTGCGCGACGGGAAGGACTGGGTGCGTATTGAGCATGTACGCGGCGGACCGGACATCGAGCGGGCATACCGTAAGGTTGCGGAACAGGGCACGGATCCTAAGATCGGAATGATCTGGAGCCTGTGGAACGACATGGAGTTTGAACGGAGGGCATCGCCTAAGCTGTAGGTCGTCTGGCTCGTCAGTATTCCGTGTACAGGCCGGAATGCATATTCACGTTACCGCACGAAATCAAGAGCTACCACGATAATGTGAAGTCCTTTCTCCATGCCTGCGTCGCCAGTGAACACTTTTCTGTCATGAGATCAAAGTGAATGTTCTCGTGACAGCGTCGACCTTATGCTTGGGTCATAGATTGACAGTCTCGCACCAAGGTAACGAGGTCGGCAAGCACGTTCTCTATCTTCCGCCATATCGTGCTACACAGTGCACGCGGGTCTAGCTACTTCGACGTAGTATATTTGACAGGGACCGCAAGCTCACCCTTCGTTATTCCTCGAGTATTTCCAATGAAATTATGAGTGACCCTGCATTCAGCACAGAGTCGGTCGTGCCTGTAATATGTCGACAGCGTCTGGCCCTGATGAAAAGTGCCACCACACCTAAGCTCATTATCGGGCTGCGCCGTTGAAACATGGCAGTCCACATTGAAGAGCCAGAAACGTTCCCAGCTCAATAATGAGGTGGCCTGCCAAGTATCAAACGTGCACATGGTTGCGGTAGCTTCTGGGATTGCTGATGAGTACCCATGCACATGGTGCGATTAATTCCAATTGAGCAGCTAGGAGGTATACTTAAGTCTGGAGAGACGAAGGGGAGGACAGCAGTCCCTGCCTTTGGATCGAGAACATGTTCTCCCGCATCCTCGCTCTCGTGCTAGCGGCGACCAGCATCGCTTCAGCGGTTCCGATCTTGGAAAAGCGTGCTTCCGTATCCGGCATTGACGGTATGTCAACGCTTTCCTGAGAGAAATCGTGCTCATAAAAGGATAGTCTCGAACTACCAGGGAGCCATCAACTGGAGCTCTGTGAAGGCGAACGGCGTGGAGTTCGCCTACATTAAGGCTACTGAGAGCACCGGTAACGAGCAGAATCTTCACATATCCGGAACAAAGTACTCAAAACCCCTCAGACTACGAGGATCCAGATTTCTCAGCCGTGAGCAACTTATAGTCAAGAGCACAATGCAGAGCTAACCTTACGCAGAACTACGAGGGGGCAACCAGCGCAGGTCTCATCCGCGGCGGGTACCACTTCGCTCACCCTGATGCGTCGTCCGGTGCCGCCCAAGCGGACTATTTCCTTGCTCACGGCGGAGGCTGGTCCGGTGATGGGATCACCCTTCCTGGTGCCTTGGACATCGAGTGTAAGTTTTGCTGGCATTTGGCGATATCCTGAAATCTTAAATCTTGTCAGACAACCCTGATGGCGCGGAATGCTACGGCTTGAGCGCGTCTGCGATGGTCTCCTGGATCAAAGACTTCTCGGACACCTACAACTCGAAGACCGGCGTGTAGGTGCGTGTCTATTGCATGTCCCAGAGTAGCTGAACTGTCGGCAAATAGATACCCGGTCATCTATACCACGACAGACTGGTGGACGACCTGCACGGGGAACAGCGCGGCATTCGCATCGACCAACCCACTCTGGATCGCTCGCTATGCCTCCAGGTATGTGTCCATGAGCCATCTACAAAGCAGGGGAGGAATGTTTACGGTTATCGGCAGTGTCGGTACGCTCCCTGCAGGCTGGAGCTACGAGACATTTTGGCAGTACGCCGACTCGGGTTCCAACCCTGGTGACCAAGACATTTTCAACGGTGACGCGGCCGACTTGAAGAAGTAAGCTCTCCATGATGCCGTCCTATTATCAAAGACTGAAAATTGAGCTAGGCTCGCTCTGGGCTGAAGTCCTTAATAAGCCGTAACTAGTGTAGCATCTGGATGTGATTTTATAACATCGTGCTGCCCAAACAAAGCTTACCAAAGACTAAGGGACCGAGGGCTCCAGATGCATCAGGCCACCTCATCCACCTTTGAGCGGGAGATGCAGAAACCCTGAAAGAACCAAGAAGTTAATAGGCGGCTTCTCATTGCTGTCCATAGGTGCTTACCGGCACTACCCATAGTCCCTTACAGCCGCAGCACAAGCCGGCCCAGTCATAGTTCCCCAGTTTAGCATTGCACTTCTTATTCGGGCATATTATCTTGCCTGAGAACTCGCCCTTGTCGAGAAAGCTGTCCATCCACTTTAACTACCAAACATTATCGTTCAGCTTGCATCCGCCTTAAGATGACCAAGCAGCGCATGACTTACAGGTTCAACGAAATAGCCCGAGCATTTTGGGTCTACTAGTATTGGGGAGCTCGGAGGGGCTCCAGCTTTTGGGCTGGCAGGGGGCGGAGAGAGGAGCGATGGTGATGGCGATGGTGCTACATGCAATTCGGGACGTAGACCTGCCAATGCAGGATCGCTGTACTGCTGTGCGGAGCGCTCAGCAGCGGTTGAAGGTACTGATGACATACTAACGGGCCGTCGCGTGGGTCGTGAAACAGGCGGACGGGAGCTTGGAGCGGCAGAGACGGCCTGCGTGAGAGTCGGTTGCGGAGAGGGAGATGTCTCTGTCGGGGCAACTCCAATAGGGATATCCTTCTCTTGCTTCTTCGCATCGGCGTCCTTTGATATGTCTCTATTCAGTTCAGGTTCTTCGCTTGATGACTCCCTCTTTTCCTGTGATTCGCCGAGAGTTACCTTCTCCGAAAGTTGGCGGCCAAGCTCCTCTGCTTCGTCTATCACAGAGCTATCAACGGTGTGCTTCATTTCATCAGGATGATCGAGAACGCCCACAGGATGCTCGGCATCCGACAGACTAGGGAAAGTTGCAGGCGTTGAGACAATTGGGGAATATGCGACAGAGGGCGATGGCGTGCTGAGCTGGCCATGATCTTGCAAATTCTCCCTCGTAGCTAGGACCTGCCTGAGACCGGTGTCAGTGCTACCAAGGGCGAGTCGTTACTTAGTTCTGACCTGCACATCTTGCATCGTATGCGACGCAGAGGTTCGTTGGATCCCGCTGACACCACTTTTCTGGGGATGACTATTGGTGCTGTAACAACCTCGGTATCTACTGGTTCACCGTCTGTGAGGGCGGAAGGAGGTTGGGAGCGGTTAGGGAACTTGCGACGCCATGTAGGCTCACTGAGAATGCCCTTTACCATGCGCTCGAGGTAAAACATTCGGGTTGTCTTGTCATGCATGGAGACTCGACACGAGGCTTTATGGAAAACTTGCAGCTGTGCCAGGAAATTGTCGTTCGGCCTGCATGGGATAATGAGTCAGGTGACACACCGAGGCAAACGACGCTTACTCGACTTGAGGTCTTGCTTTGCGTATCAGACTGAGTGCGTCTTCCGGGCCAAGGCCGCGCGAGTACATCAGGTAGGCGACAACCACAGAGGTACTTCTACCTGGACACATCATTTGGTCGGTCGTGTGCATACTTCATTCCACGGAGCCACGTACTGATTCCAGCCACGCAGTGAACTAGTACACCACGTCCTTTGTCTAGCTCCGCCTGAATGAAGGTGATGGCGACCACTAAATGCTTCAGGATATCTTCGTTTTCGGTATCATCGATGCTTATTTGCAGCCGGTTGAATGTCTACTGCGACGCACAATCAAGCTATGAGGTCTCCTTCTAAAAATATACTGAGTTCTTCTGCGCACCTCTTCGATGATGACCTTGCCCCTCATTGCAGAGAGGACGCTGTGTATGTTGTTCTCCCTTAGTTTCTTTGTGTTCTGTGCGCTTGGGAGGTCACCGAGCCACAGGTTAAGGATAACCTCGTTCATGCCCCAGAAATCATCCATTGTTGCTCCTAATGTCCAATTTCCTCTATTTTCAAGGTAGAAGACGCGAAAGAGCAAGGACGGAGTGGGCAGTAGGACGAGCTGACGTCCAGGGCTGCCGCTCACTTCCTCGGCGATCCCGATCACAGTCCCCTGCAGATCGCATCCGCGATTAAGCGCCAAGGTCCATCCTCCGTCATGCACTCATTCCTCCTCTGGCTGTGTGCAGCCACTCTGGCTCTCGCTAGCTGGTCTCGAGGTGCTAGAGCTCAAAATATAGCGCAACAGGATGTTGTGCACAGTTTCTTCAATGCACAGAGCGACTTAGTCTCCTCACATACCAATAACTGGGCTGTGCTTGTCTGTGCTTCACGGTATTGGTTCAACTACAGGGTACGTGGCGCTACCTCTCCTAGCTTTGTCAAGTCTGACATAACTCAAAGCATATGGCGAATACGCTTGGCATGTAAGCTGCCCCGTCCTTGCCTAGAACCCTCGCTAATGGTGTCGTAGGTATCGAACAGTGAAGCGTCTGGGAATACCCGACTCGAATATCATTCTCATGCTGGCAGACGACGTCTCGTGCAATGCTCGGAACAAATTCCCGGGCTGCGTCTACTCTAATGCAGGACGAACGCTGGACCTCTATGGGGATAACATCGAAGTAGACTATCGTGGTTACGAAGTTACAGTTGAGAATCTCCTTCGGGTGCTGACCGGTACGTTCTTCATGATACGTTGTAGCCACTCTCACTGGAACCAGGATCATGGTAGGACGCATGGACCCCTCTGTGCCTCGCTCGAAACGTCTCCTTACCGATGACAGATCCAACATCTTTGTCTACATGACTGGTCATGGTGGAAACGAATTCCTCAAGTTCCAGGACAACGACTCGCGGACGTTACGGCTGCGGTTGGAGCTTTGGAAAACGTTAAAACGAACGAACAGACCCAGACGTCCTTTGTGTTCTCATAACTTATACTGTACCCCTGTCGGCAATATGTGGCCCCCATCCAGCGGCTTTCACATGCACCGCGGCGGTAGTATCCCTGCCTCGCAGAGTGGAAGTGTAACGGAATTTAACGGGTACGATAGTGGATATACATGAAGTCTACTGCTTGCTAGTCCGTATAACCCACGCTATAAGGCTCCCGGCGAGAGCTACCGAAGCCCACGCGCGTGCGGCGACAGAGAACGGTCCTCGGTCAGCCTCCGCGTAGCTGTTGAAGATCGCGGCCGTGTCAAGGGTTCTCGTGGGCGCAACTCGATGTTCACCAGACGAATCATTCGTACGGTACATCTCGACAGGGTCCGCCAGCCTCGCGGACATGTTTGGCGCAGATGGTCGTATGTCTAGTGGCTTTGACATGTTCGAAGTAACCTCATCAGAAGGGACGAGTAGCGAAGGGAGAATTTCTGCCTGTGCAACGCCTCCAAAAAAGTCTGTCACGAGTGTTTGGCGAAGTGGCCTCCGGAAGAGATCTGAGCGGACACCTGGATGGGAGTGTATCTTCTCGAAACTGTAGGTATCGAACTGAGGTTTTTGGAAAGGTTAGTGGACTGTGACAACAAGGCACCCGATAGCACGCACCAGATCCTGTATTGATTTATGGCTGGTCTTGCCAATACCTTCCATGAACTCCAGAACATGATGTGTGTAACTATCGATGACTGCAACACCAATGTCGTTGTCATTCTCGTACTGTGCCAAGGCTCTGGTCAAGAAGGAAGAACAGCGAATCCATGGAGACACTTACGGAGTAAGAGTTTTCGCGAATCTGTGAAGAACCCGTTGCGAGGATATTTGGCGAATAGAACTTTGAATACATTGTATTTGCTTGACAGGTATCGATCATGAAAAAGATCTCGTTGTATCTGCAAGGAGCAGTTAACAATTGCTCTCACGGCATGGTAACAGAGAGAACAGCCCTCTCGGTCATGTCGGAACTCACCGCTTCTTCTGCCACATTTGTTCAAACGCGTCAGCTATGTCATAAGCGCTGATTTCTAAAGATGTCGAAGACTCAGAGCGAAGGCGTGGCACATCCGAGCCATCCCAGACCACCACGCCCAGTTGAGATCCAACTCCTTCAGACTCGTCTGCTCCCTCCTCTGTTCGCGCCGCCCCAGCCCGAACATCCCCCACGACTGCCATACCCCCAACGACGCACCGACCCGGCTATCACCAAGGACTATGATCTCACGACGCACCTCGTACCCGCTGCATACCCGCGTCTCACACCCGACGTGCCAGAGACCGCTCCGCCCGCATGGTCGTCTGACAAGGCGCAGTTCGAGGCCTCAGTCCAGCGGACACTTGAGGGGATATTGCAAGTCCGTCAGAAGCAGTGGTCGGACGAGCTCGGCGGCGAGGGCAGTCGGACGCTGCTATGGAACTGTGTAGACCGGTACGTGAGGAAGGACAGGTCCAGGAGGCAGGTCGGCAGGCTGCCAGTTACTTTGTTCTTCGCGCACCCAAACGGCTTTCCGAAGGAGGTGAGTATCAGAGTATTCGTAGCGACAGCTGTGAATGCTGACTTCGTCCGCTCAGACCTGGGAGGTTGCCCTGGCGCACCTCCTCGCTGTCAACGAGGCATCGAAGCACACGGTGGACATATCAGAAATCTGGCTCTGGGAAGCGGTGAACCATGGTGACTCCGCTCTTGTGAATGCTGGGAAGCTAGGTGGAATATGTGCGTCCTACATGTCCCTCTCATGCGGTCCGAAACGCTTACATCGAAGCAGACGACTGGGCGGACAACTCTCGGGATATCCTCAACTTTCTCCTGAGCTATCTCCCTACATCGCCGACTGAGGGGACTCTACCTACTCATTTACCACGCCTGGCGGAATCGCTCGCACAGTCGCGCAAGGCGTTCGGCTTCCAATCGAGGACCTTCGTCGTGGTCGGGCACTCTTTCGGTGGCTGCGCGAGGTACGTAAACTATCCGTGTCCAGGATACCTCTCCAGGCTCATTCATAGCCACATAGCCTTCGTGCCGCGGTGGACTGTCCTGCCTTGTTTGCGTCTCTCGTGCTTATGGACCCGATAATATCCCCCTTCCGTCCTGGCATGGGCCTCGTGTTTAAACGACCGTACACTCTTGGTACCGGTGCCATCCGGCGACGGACACATTGGTCCTCTCGGTGAGTGCCCTGACTCATTGTTTCGCTTGCCTAGCCTAATCGGGTCACATTCCATAGTGCAGAAGCCCTCGCCTCCTTCCAACGGTCGCCCTTTTTTCGCGCTTGGGATCCCGCCGTCCTCAAGTTGTACGTCGATCATGGCCTTTACGACGACCCCAAGGGTGGCGTGAGCCTCAAGATGTCCGGCATCCTCGTATGCACCTCTCCTTTTTCTTTTTCCGCTTTGCCTGACATGGCGACACCACAAACACATAGGAAGCGATAACGTTCTCTGATACTCTCCTCAGCTTCGAGATGTGGCAACTCGCGTCTACTCTCCCCTCGCACATCGAGCTGCGCTTCATCATGCCCGGCCGTCCGAACCAAGAGTGCGCGTTCCTCTCATCTAACATTGAAGTTGGTGCACTGACCGGCTCTCGGGTGCCTCAGCGAGATCCCACGCAATCACCTAGTCTGGCTTCGCCCCGAGAATGCGAGCAACGTCATCATACAACGCTCGGGACACTTGCTCGCACAGGAAGCCCCTCAAGAGCTTGGTGAGCTCTGTCAGATGTGCTTTCAAAGGTAGAGCTAACGACACGACTAGCTGAAGAGCTGCATGCGTTCTTGTCGCGGAAGTATGGCAGCGGTGCGACACCGTCTGCGAAATTGTAACTAAGCTTTTCCATGACGGGCGATATTGAAAGGAGATACCAGGGTATATTATACTTTCTACGTATGAACATCATGAACGGGCGACAGGATCAGGAGAACATCATCAATTATACAACTAGACGTCACAACTGAAACGAGACTACAGCAGCACCGTCCGAAGCGCGTCCTTCGTACAAGAACTCAAATGCAAGTTTCTTCGCGTAATTATCCTTCGAGTTTTTGGACAAACGTAACTGGAATAAACGACGTAGACACGTTCAGGATGAGTTTCGGGTTCGAGTGCATGGTCATGCTCATTTCCGCAAGTATACAAAGCATTTAGCTTGAGCTGTTTGCCGGTGTTGTGGTATAGCTCCCTGTAAGATCATCGTCAGAACCCTAACGAAGCTGATGTAATTAACAATGGGCACATACATATTCTTGCTTGCCAGTCACCACTTCCAGTCGCCAATAGATTGCCCACCGGGCTGAGATCGATAGAGATGACTTCAGAGGGAGAAAGTCAGTGGCAATTCCATCAGATGATTACAGGACAGACACTCACCGGAATTCTTGTGTCCCTGCAACATGCACTGCACGACCGCACTCTTCGCATCCCAGAACTGCACTCCCCGATCCTTGGACCCAGAGACGACCCACTGTCCGTCATGGCTGACAGCGACGCTGAGCACGTAGTCCTTGTGGCCCGTGAAGTTCATCAGGCACTGGCTAGTCTTATCCAGCTTCTCTGCGCCCGCGCCGTTCTTGAGCGAGCCGTTCCGCCGGCGCTCGTAGATGGGCTGTACGTCCCAGTACTTGAGCGTCTTGTCGAGCGAGCCGCTCACAAGACCGCGCCCGTCGGGCGTAAAGGCGACGCTGTAGACGCTATCGCGATGGCCCTTGAGCCGCTCGACGAGCTTGCCTGTCTGCACGTCCCAGATGCGCACGACGGTGTCGAGCGAGCCTGCGGCGACGAGCGATCCGTCAGGCGAGATGCAGACGGAAGTGACACCTGCGTCGACACTATCGGGCTCGTCAATGGACACTGGGAACGGTTATGAGATTGTGGATCCTTGCGGAACGAAGTATGATGAAACGTACGCGTCTTGTAGAGCCCGGGTTCGTGCATATCCCAAATCTTCGCCGTCTTGTCACCTGAGCCAGATACGATCAAGTGCCCGTCCTTTGAGAAGTCGAGCGAGTAGATTTCCTGCTGGTGGCCGTCAAACGTATTCCGGATACGTTTCTTAGCGATATCCCAGATCTAATTCGCCGCTTCTTTTAGACACAGTATGACAGACGCAGGTTACGTTACTCACGCGAATCTGCTTGTCTTCGGCGCCTGTCGCCAGATACCTCCCATCAGGGCTGAAACATACGCTGCGAATGTAGAGGTCGCCTGTCTTGGTCGCCTCTTCATCGACGAGGACACTGCGGTGGAGTGAGACTTTAGTGTACTTGAAATGAGCGCATACACTCACCATGTCTTCTGACCGGTCTTGGTATCATAGATCTGTGCCGTCCTGTTGCACCCGGTGGCAAGGTATTTGCCGTCTGCAGAGAACCGCACACAGCAAACGACACTGAATCGGACATCTTGGCATCAGTTCGTGCTGATGTCCGCTAAAGAAGATTACGCACCTCTCATGAGAAAGCGTATGCACCAAGCTAACATCTAACTTCTTCTTTGTCTCCTTGCTGGCATTCGGATTGAAGATAGCAAACCAGTCAGATCCTTCTTTCTTCAGCTCGGGAGGAAGCGACTGCGGCTCGAGGTCAGCGATCGGACCCGGGTACGCATCCGCCATGGTGACGTCGCGGTCCTGGGACGGTGGCTGCTGTTGCTGCGGGGCCTGCTGTGAGGGTTGTGAAGGCGGAGGCGGAGGCAACTGCGACGGCGGTGGCGGCAGCGACGACGGCGGAGGGGGTAAACCGTTTGTTGACGCAGGCAGCGCGGGAGGGCCAGCGGAGTTGGGAGTGTTAAGCGCAGGCGGAGGGCCCCCAGGGCCTGTTGTGGACGGAGGTCCCGGCTGGTGAAGCGTGCTTGGCGTCGGAGGCTGGGCAGCCGAACTTGACTGGGGAGTTGGGGGTCCATACGTGTTAGGTCCTGACGCGGGCGGGAGCTTTGGTGTAGGATGTGAGGATTGACTAGGTGGTGCCGATGGTGGTCCATTTGGGCCCGACGACGGCACATTGTGTGAGGCCTGCGGAGATTGATGAGGCGGTAGAGAGGCGGGGCCGCCGGGCGCAGGTGCCAGAGCAATCGACTGGTGAGGTGGCTGGCCGGGAACCGAGGGAAGCGAAGGCGAGAACGGGTCTATACGAAAGGAGAGTTAGAAGCGTAAAATTGCGTCACGTGCGAAAGTGAAGCGAGACAGAACGATGCTCACCACTACGATCCATCTTCCCGCGCTCGGTCTTGATGCGCTTGGCTTCCCCACGATCCCGCTCCGCACGCAAGTCGCGGTCCCGCTCGCGCTCGATTCTGTCCCGTTCACGGTCGCGCTGATCTCGGACATCTCTCTCACGGAGTTCACGCTCCATCATCCGGCTGTCGAGTCGGCCACGCTCTGCAGCCATTCTGTCGACTTCTCGCTCTCTGTCCCTGTCTCTGTCGCCGCGAGGGTAGAATGGCTCGTATCCTCCGCCACCGCCTGGGCCGGCGCCTACGCCAAGTCCCACAGGAGGAGCGTGGGGAAGGCCGCCCAGTTGCCCTTCTGGAGGAGGGGCAGAAGGAGCACCTGGGATGCCCAGCGGGCGTCCAAGATTAAGCCCTTCCCTGGTGTCGGCGCGCGATGGCGGGCCAGGCATGCCCATTGGCTCGCGGGGTGGAGGCTCGCGGTCAATGCGCATGTCTCTATCCCGATCTCTGTCTCTATCTCTATCCCGCTCACGATCACGATCACGGTCGCGGTCACCCCTTCCGAGACTGGCGATGCCTTCGCTTCGAGGACCCTCGACGCGCTGCTTGTACGCCCTGAACTCGTCCTGGAGTTTGCGCATTTCTTCTTCGTATTGTCCGCGGACTTTGCGATGTTCGTCCTCGAGAGCGTAGAGGGAGGAACGTATGATGTTGAGTTCGTTCACCTGACCGGTGACTTGAAGAGAAGAATGGGTCAAACGACCTGTTTTCCCATGAAAAGAAGAATTGTGGCACATACGCTTGTTTTCAAACTCGTCGCGCTGGGCACGCATTGCGTCGAGTTCCCGAGCAAGTTGATCAAATTCTTGGCGAACGACGGTGAAAGCATCGTCGAGGCGAGAGGTGGCATGGTGTCCTTGGATGCTGGGGCCGCCCTGAGGCGCGGCGCCTGCTGGCTGCAAGTGTTTGTGCTGCGGGGAGCATGAGGGAGGGGTGAGCGGAGAGAAAGGGAAGGACGTACGTTGTATATGGAGGACGCCATGGCGTCGCTGTGGGCGGGAGGGGCGGGCAGGGGCGGGGAGGCGGTGGTGGTATCGGGGGCGAGAGGGGGAGGTGATGGCAGTTGACCAACAGTCGTTTATGTACGGAATTCGCTCTCCCCGCCTACGAGACCCGCCAAACTGCCGGGTCCCACTGCCGCTCGCCTACGACACCAGACACGTGGCGCACCCCCAGAACAGACGCCTATATCCCGATCAATCCATCATCAGAATCGGGCCTCTTGCCTCGAACAGCAATCCCGGCGGCATGCCCATATCTGGAAAATGGCTGCTTCTCGCCTCTCCTCCCAGGCACGCCACTCCTCTCCTCCCGCTGCAAGCACGGCAGATCCTGCGAGCACCACGGCCTTGCGGACGGCAATGAGCTGAGATACATCTTCATCGTCGCATATTGCATGCTGGTCCCTGCCTCTCGCGTTTTCCCAACTCCTCTCCTCGCCGTCCTTGCATCTCAAAATCCAATCTAGACGTCACACCCCGAGTCTGAGTCACCCTGCCAACCCATGTGTCCATCGATCCCTTCTGCGCGCTCGCATCCGTGCTCGTCGTCCCCCAATCATCATGGCGCCCCCTCGTGTCAGCGCGCAGGCTTCCAGACCCTTGCTTCTGCGGCCGGCCGGGCCTACAGCTCTAGACTGAGCATGCTCACTGCGGCCTCCCTTCCCCCTGACCAACTCCGCATTCGCGGAGAACATCCCAGGTCTCACAGCCTGCACGTCCAAGCCTTGTTTGCGTTTGCTTCTCACCGCCCCTTCTGGCGCCCTCTTCTCTCGTGGCAGTCACACCCTGCATCCGCTCCTCTGGATCGCCGGGTCACTGCGGGCAGATAGCACATCTCCCGCGTTGACCCCCCTGGGAGTTCGAGCTTGTGCTGGCGCATGTCGATGGCGTCTTCTATCGCTGTACGGCCCATCCCAATACCCTTTTTTTTGCCCTACCCGGCAAACCGCCGGCAGGTAATTGAAGCCAATCACGCCGTGAGCGAAACGAAATACCTGTGCACATCATTGCCTCAGGCTTCCCATTGGCGAGCGCAGTATCGTCCAATGCACAGCTTTGCAGACACTCACGCAATTTGACTACGACCGAGGGTGCACTTGATCATGAGAAGCGATAGCTAGGGACCAGTGCTAACCTGAAAGACGCGTGTGTTTGTTCACACCTATTCGGACCCTTTGTGAGTCCCAGACTCCCAGTCATGGGCACGTTTACGGCGAAAAGCCCCCTGTGAACGTAGAAATATCGAGGCGCCCAGTCCTCGTCTTGCTCGTTCTGGAAGTCTGGCAAGTCACCTTCGTACCCGAAGAGCATTGCGGAGCGCGGGCGGGTGTGGGCGCCGTCTCGTCCTAGTATTTGTCAAACTGAAAGAATGATAGCCTGTTGTTGAATGATTACTTGTTTTCCGGCCCGCCGTAGGCGGATCCCGAGATATGTCGGACAACAATGGGTTCGCCGCACCCGGTAGCACTGTTGTTATGTCGGCTACAATTTGCGTTAACCTTTTCTTCCTTTTCTTCCCGAAGATCCGAGCATAGCGCAGGCCCTACCGAACTTACGTCTGCTTGGGCGCGACCATGGAACGAGATGGTTGCCAAATCGAGCAGCGAGTGCCGCAGCGTTCGGCGCTTGCGAACTTGTTCACGGACGACGACCACGATGTTGCACGGTGAGCCCCATAAATGCATCCTTTGACTTTAGACCATCACCCATGGACGCTATACAGGTCTAACTGCGTATGGAGACGAGTCTCCTGTCGACAGCCGCGACGCCGCGCCTTCCTCCGCTGCCGGGTCCACAGGCGGACCCGTACCATCGAATGGAAGAATGAATACAGCTGATGTGAGAGCCTTCACCGCCTGCCGCTCATGCATTCCGTTTCCCTGCTTTGCTCGCGCATTTTTCTTCTCTCGGCCAGGATAAACCGTCGTGGCCCGTGTCTGACGCTCCTTCAGGATGTGCGTGTTCTCGCCTTGCGTTCCAGCTGGCTCTCTGACCGCCTTTCTGCTTTAGCTGGTACGACAAAAAGTCTAGTAGTCATCCGCAAACCCTCGAATGTCAAGATCCACCCGCGTTCGCGCCTCCCTGAAGACGAGCACCCGCGCAATGCGTCTGCTCCGGACACATCCGTGACCTCGCCGTACGAGCCGCCAGCGTTCGCAATGGACGAGCAGGACACGGGGTTACCTACCGACGAGATGGCGCGAATACGTGCGCTGCTACGCCCACCGCCTATACCGGGCGTCGACGACTGGAATATCCCGCCTGAGCCGACGGGAGTGTGTGATCCCGAGATCGAAGTAAACTTCTCTTCCCCTCGTCATTTTCTGTATATTGAGATTGTGCTGCAGGCGAAGCTCGCGCAGTTCCACGCTCTGAAGCGCGACGCGGTACACCCGAAGCACTTCAACGACAGCCTGATGTCGAACCGCTCCTTCCGGAATCCGCACCTGTACGCGAAGCTCGTCGAGTTCGTTGACGTCAACGAGCGCACGACCAACTTCCCCAAGGACATCTGGGACCCGGACGATGTACGGGAAGAATGGTTTGCTGACCGGATCGGTAAGTGCTTGACATCGTGTCCAGGTGGCAAGACGTTCATACACTTCATACCTCAACCATCGCGGCGTCTGTTCGGGCATGATCGTTGGCACGACAAGCCGAATATCAAAAGACACGGTCAGAACAACAGCAGGCCGCGCAGGCCGCGAACACAGGCAAGCGTACACACCTCGAGTTCACATCTGCAAAGTTGGATTCTTCCAAGTCGAGGGACCGAGACCATGATGAAAGGGACCGAGGCGGCAAGCAGTCCGGCGGGAAGAGGTATAATCCCTACGTAAAAGATCAGTACGGGAGAGACAAGGGGAGGGGATGGAAGTGACACCTGGCAGTGCTTCATGTCTGCTGCGTCCTGCTGTAATCTTGGCTCTCAATGTATGGGCTGAAGTACTGATCACCGAAGGAGGTAGATTGATCAACAGAACGATAATTACAAGTAATTCAACCAGGGATCATCGGACGTCTATGGGAATAACATGAGCTCAGCTCGCGTCACGAGAAAGCGCATCTATTTGAGGTTTGCTCTCAACAACAGTAATACCACTTAGTGTTTAACACCAAGCCACAAGCATTTCAGTCGTCTTGGAATCATCCCTGCCCTCGGGAATCTAATATAATAAAACACCTCGGGCGTCAAAGCCCCGAGACAAAGAGGCACTCTCATTGGCCAGTGATCCCTCTCACGAGGCGCCTCTCACTGGGGCGCTGCACGCCCAGCCAACCAAAGGTTGGCGGCGGGCGGCGCGTTCCTCTCATTTCTCATTCGATTTCTCTTAATTCTCTTCTGACTTCTTCTCTCAATCTCTTTTTTCAATTTTCTCTGCCCGTGCGTAGCACGGGTCACCCTCTCGTATGGACCGATGAATCAGTCCGCGACAAACTCCTTGAGAAAGTTGATCTCAGGCATGCCGATATTGATGGCCGTCGAAGCAACATCCATGACGTCGAGGCCCCGGTCCAGAGAAATCGCGATTGTGGAGTTGAGCAGCACACAGCGCAGGGTCGCGGCCACGCCGGCCTGGACAAGCGCAGGTTCATACGCGTCGAGCAGGGCCTGAAGGCCCTCCAATGCCTCTGCGGCGCGCGTCATCTTGTCTTCTGGGAGCTGCAACAGTCTGATCAGGCTTCAGAGTAGGAGAGGGGGAGAGCATGCGACGAACCACGTCGGGCGATTGGATGTGGTCGAGTGTCGTCAGGAGGTGGTCTTCGATAGCCTGCGCGGCGGCGCACTGATCCGCGTTGTAGGGAGGCAGCTCTTCGCGCAAAAGTCGGAGCTCGATATACGCGTTCGACAACTTCTCCTCGAGATTGTCCAGGCGGTGGTCCAGGGCGCTATCAGTGGAGACAAACTCGCGAAAGGTCTTCTTAGCGCTCGTCTTCTCCCTCTCCTCCGAAGAAATGGATATGGACCCGGACGGCGACGGCGAATTGCTTCCGGATAGCAGAAGCGGAAGCAAGGTGGAGGTCGTCGTAAGCGACCAAATCACGTGGCAATCGACCGGATGTCGACTTACACAAGTCACAGATGGTAAAGTGCCTTTGATGTTTCATTTCACCCGGAATATTGAGCTGAACACAGTTCAGAATGACTTGCACATAGGATTTCATCACCTCGCGTAATGCATGGGCAGAAAAAGCTCTCAGGTCAAGGAGACATTGGGTGACACTGCGCGTGCACCACCATGCCTCTTTGTCCGCCCGTCCTATATGAGCTCTTTGTCCGGAGGACCACCTCGCTGTGCAGTATGCTATATATTCTGCCCTTTTCTCTGCTCTACAGAACACCGTCCTAAAATCCCGCCTGCTCTCATCCCAGCTTCTCACCTCTTCTCCACAGCCCAATGATGTACTCCCAAAACTTTGCCAACAAGGTCGCGCAACAACTCAAGCCCTCGATGGTCACTGTTCTCAAGACGGCTGTGATCACTCCCGGTGCGGAAACCTCCGTCAGCCCCGTGCATCTGTTCTACGACGCAAGCGAGCAAATGTGGTCCCCCGTGAGCCCCGTGGAGACCATCTGCACCGCGCAGAAGGACGAGGGGGTCTCTCTCTACGAGAAGAGCACCGAAGAGATCACTGCCGCGGCTGGGCTACTGGCCAAGTGTCCACGGGCGGCGACGCAGGTCATATGCACTTTTGTCTATTGCACCTTTGATTTGAACCTTGGCTGAAAACCACCACTACGGCATTGAACGGGCCCATACTGACCACTGAACTCTCCAGTCGATACGATAGGCATGTGGCAGTGGCTTCTGTCCGTCGTCCAGACGGCACTTATCCTGCCCGCGAACGTCCTGCCGACTCCGCCGAGCAATGATTGTGAGTCCCATGAGTGATTCGTTGGATGTACTACACGCACTTTACGGCGGTTCGCTGAATTGCCCGGGCCTGTGCTATGCTTCGTGCTGTGTGTTGGCTGGTCATTGGATCGACGAAGCTTGGATTGGTGAAGTCATCTGCCGGACGTTCGCGCTTGAAGGTGCTGTCTGCAGCTATATAAACTGCCACAGCTCAAGATTCATCAGATTCGCCTCCGTAGTTGTATCAGTCATGAAATTACTGTCTGTCTTGCTGACCGCTTTGACAGTGCGCCTGCTCGAAACCCCGCAGGTTAATGCACTGAACGACGGGGTTGCTCGTTTGCCAGGTAATGTAGAGCTGCAATTTTATTTGTTTATGTCTTACCATCTTCACAGTCCTTGGTTACAACAGTACGTTCTTACCATTGTAATGCTTTATCTCCTGACCTCCGTGACTACAGCCTGGAACGCATACCAAGTAGCACCACAGCTGTACACTTGTCTCGTTTCCTGCTGACGTGCTCCACAGTGCGATATCGACGAAGATCTCATCATCACTACTGCGAAGCTCATGAGGTCTCTCGGCCTACAGGTTCGTAACGCCGACGTCTGTAGATCTCAAGCTCATGAAAACTTAGGATGCTGGTTACAACTGGGTCAATCTAGACGACTGCTACGCTGAGAGCAACCGTAGTGCTGATGGACTCATTGTGCCTGGTAGGCCACCCAATAATTGATCGGTAGCTTAAGCTTTGCTCATTGGGTATCAGACAACGTACGATTCAAGAGCGGCTTCAACTGGTTAACAGACCAGTTGCATTCTATGGGCTTGTAAGTAATTCATGATACACGTCCTATGCCTTAAACTCACGCAGATATCAGCAATGCAGGCATCGTAGGCATATCACTCTACGCCATGTAGTAAGCATCCTGACGGCTATACCAGTATAGCGACTCCGGCTGGTTCACCTGCGCTGGATACCCAGGCTCTTTCCAGAATGAAGCGCGGGATGCCAAGACGTTCCAGGACTGGGGCTTTGACTACCTGAAGTACGACAATTGCGCCAGTAAGTCGTCAGGTCTTAGCACAACGACAGTCGACGAGCGTGCACTTAGTTCCTTTCGATGACATCATTCGCGAGGGTACTTTCGGAAGTAAGTTGTCCATCCCCCTCGATGAATATCGCTAAGCAATTGCTTCTCAGAATACCAGCGAATAGCAGGTGCAATTGCCGACCTCGCGAAGAGTTCGAGCAGGCCGCCAATGATTCTTTCCCTCTGTGAATGGGGCTGGGTAAGTGTCGAATGCTTTCCAACGTTCTCGTGTTGAACCGCTACGACAACAGAGCCAAGTATGGATGTAAGGAATCAAACCATATCAAAGTTTTGGAAGTGTGTTGTTAACCTTAGACGAAAGCTGGGGTAAGACTATCGGTCAGAGCTGGCGGGTAAGTCAATCTTCGATAGTCTGCTGTGGACTGTTGTTGACCCTAGGTAGACGACAGGCGATATTTCCCCAAACTGGGACTCGGCGATGAGCATCATCAACTTGTACGTCCTCTACATATTGTATCGTGGGCGACGCTGAGTCCTTGCAGTAACTCCTTCATCACGACCGCAACAGACTTTTATGGGAGGAATGACCTTGATATGGTGTGTGTTCCAGACTTCGTACTCGAGATCTCAGGCTAAATTCCTGTCACACAGCTGCAAGTGTAAGTAAATGCTTCTGACGAAGCCTTGCGATATCCTTTCCTACTCAATCTTACAGGGGCAACGAGGGCTTGACGCCCGAGGAAGCGAAGACTCATTTCACTGCCTGGGCTCTCATGAAGTCCCCTCTTCTCATCGGCACCAACGTAAGGATGTCATGTATTATGGCCCCACCGTTGTTTCTGCTGACCTAATGAAAGCTCTCGGCCATAACTCCGGATATTGTAGAAATCCTTACAAACAGCGAAATTTTGGCCATCAACCAGGACCCTGTTGAAGGCACAAGCATCTCGCCATTCCGTTGGGGCATTAACGTCAGTATAGTCTCTATGAAGTTGCTAAGGGTCGGGTCCTGACCGTACCAACAGCCGGATTGGACCAGCAACAGCACTCATCCAGCTCAATTCTGGAGTGGACCAAGTGAGAACGGCACCGTGTTCATGTTGGTTAGTCAATTTCTCTGGGCCACGCATCGCGAACGGATATTTAACGTGTGGTGCAGCTGAATACCCTCGACGAGCCTGCAAGTTTGTTCTTTAATTTGACCGAATCTCCCTGGATTCGCGCCGGCAGACAGTATTCTGTCAGGGTAAGCACCCCATCCGCTCTATCGTCCTATCGTTCTCAATAAAAAGTTAAGGATTTATGGACGCACACGGACAACGGCACGGCCATCAGAAACTTCACGGCAACAAACGTCCCTGCGCATGGCGTGGTGGCGCTCCTGCTCAAAGACGCGGGAGACGAGCCTGCAGGGATCTATCCGCAGTGTAGCGTCTGGGACCAGTGCACCGCTGAGAATGGCACGCATGTTGGTGGTTGAAGGTCGAGATCCACGTGTTAACCGTCATGGACATGTGTGCTGGAAAAGTGCGTTGAAGTCGAGGACTTTCAACAAGACGATTCGGACATTCCTTCCATAGTAGTGTATTCTCGCGACATGCATAGGCACCTCTTGTATGTACTCTCCGAGCTGAGCATTGGAGGATATGCACTAGTAGAAGCTCAAGCACATGACCATGTCTCTATTTAGCGCGCTACAAGAAGCGCTTGCACTATACGGTTCTCTCTCTACCTCGACGTTCACGCGTTGACCTTATCCAAACCACCAATCGCGCAGCGAGTCTCATCCTTCTGCGGTCACCAAGATGAAGCTCGTAAGGTGAATACCCCCTCTATCTTAGCCGGCTCAGCGCTTGGCGATGCTGATGAGCTATAGTTACGCTCGAGCTCGACCACTCATTTGTGCATTGGGCATTTGTGCTAGTCGTATGTCGTCCATTTGCTGACAATTGGACTATCTCTAGGTTTTTGATGAAGCTGAACAACGAGACTGTGACCATCGAGCTCAAGAACGGCTCAATTGTTCATGGCACAATCACTGGTACGTGGTTCTGATTGACGAGGAGACTGAACATAGGCTAATGCACGCTAAATACATGCAGGTGTTGACATGCAGATGAACACACATTTGAAAACAGTCAAGATGACTGCTCGTAACCGTGATCCCACGTCTCTCGACTCCCTGTCGATCCGCGGTAATAACATCCGTTACTTCGTCCTACCGGATGCGCTGCCGCTCGACACATTGCTCGTCGATGATGCACCCAAGCCGAAGAACCGGAAGAAAGACGAGTCGCGTGGTCGTGGAGGACGAGGCAGGGCTCCAGAGAGGGGAGGCCGTGGCCGCGGTCGTGGTCGTGGTCGCGGCAGGGGTTTTTAAAGGATATTGAGCTCATGCCGCACGATGCATCGTGCACTGAAACAATCATGGCTTCGTTGCCTCTCGTTCCTGTCAACGCCTGTATGTCAAGGCTGAGCTTCGTAGCTGCAGCCTGTAAAAGGGGAGCGCAATACTCGTCTTGTCAATTGTTGCATCGGAGCTATCTTTGCACTACCCGCAGCTTTGTGCTGTCTCCAAGTTTCCTTGCTGATGTACTTATCTCGTAACTGTGCATCCATGCTTGCACTCGCAGCCAACTGCTGCAGGAAATGTTCATACGGTAGGTTCATGTATGTGGAGGGCTATGACCTCGAGTAAAGTCATGTGAGAAGTAGCTGTGATCTTGACTCTTACTATCACCTACATGCATTCACAAAGCCGTATTCATCCGCATTTTCTCGGTCTATGACACCACAAACAAAACAATATGGCAAAAGAGCCTTTGGAATATGGCCTCCGTATCTTGAGTTTTGCCGGTTTGTGAGCCGCTTAAAGCGTCCCGGCCCCGCGGAGACTCGCACTTGAACGCACCTCGTATCCATGATCTTCCGCCGGTCACTGGCAACCCTCACCTCGACCCTTACTCCAACTGTTCGACAATTGCTCGCGCCGGGCACGCCGAGCAGTCCGAACTCCATTCAGGTCAATGGCTGGGTGAAGTCGGTCCGTCGGCAGAAGAGAGTTGCGTTCGCGGTCATAACCGATGGTTCATCCACGGAAGGCCTTCAGGCCGTATTCACGGACGTTGCTTTGGCGAACGAGTACGTCTCTATGCTTGTTGCTAACCGAGCTTCGTGACTGACGTAGTACGCGATGTATAGCTTGGCGAAGGGTTGTGCAGTCAGGTTGACTGGCGTCCTTGCGGACAGTATAGGCCCCGGACAGGCTAAAGAATTGCAGGTTCAGGCAGTCGATGTTGTCGGAGAATGTAATCCGGAAGTACGTGATCGCTTCGTGCAGAATTCAAACGATTACTCATGAGCTCGCCTATGCTGTAGGAGTACCCTGTTAACAAGCGAGAGATGACAGTAGAATATCTGCGAGATCATTGTCATCTCCGGACGCGTACCGACGAAATGGCAGCCGTCATGCGGTTACGAGACTCTATGACGAGGACCATGCAGGACTACTTTACGGTACGAGCCCGTGTTGTCTTGCCGATGTTCACAAACTGAGCCTCGTGGACAGAATCTTGGATTCACCTACGCGCACACGCCGCTGGTAGTATCGAACGACTGTGAAGATGCCGGCGAAACTTTCCGGGTCTTGGCCCCCTCGGAGGGGATATCCGCCTCGCCCGCAAAAGAGGCCTCTCCTTCACCTGCAACAGAGCGAGACGACGAAAAGCATCCGGAGCACTTCTTTGGTCGTCCTGCATACCTGACGGTCTCGTCTCAGCTGCACCTTGAAGCCCTGGCAACATCACTCTCCCGAGTGTACACTATTTCACCATGCTTTCGGGCAGAGCGATCTCAGACCGGACGACACTTGTCGGAGTTCTGGATGCTCGAGGCCGAATGGGCCTTTACCAACAAGGTGGACGACGTCTGTCAGGTTGTCGAGGGCGCTGTTAGGCAAGCATTGTTGCGGGGCGGCACAGAGCTCAAGTTGCTGAGAGAGACCCTGCCGGAGGAACGCCTCGCCGTATTCGAGAGAGCCTCCGCGGCTCAACCGTGGACGAGGATTACTTACACCGACGCAATACGAGAGCTCGAGAAGATACAGAGCACAAGCAAGATCTTCAACTATGGACCTGTTTGGGGACAACCCCTACGAAGCGAACACGAACGCTGGATCGCAGAGCAAATCGTCCAGGGCCCAACGTTTGTTACGGATTACCCTGTCGAGCTCAAACCATTCTACATGCGCCTCAATGACGATGGGAAGACCGTTGCCTGCTTTGATCTCCTCGTTCCCCACCTGGGCGAGCTGGTTGGTGGCTCACTCCGTGAGGAGCGTATGTTGTATCTTCGTAAAGCCTTGAAGCGTGATCAGCTGGACGCCGCCAGCTATGACTGGTATCTCGACCTTCGTAGGTACGGTGGCGCGCCCCACGGCGGGTTCGGGCTAGGGTTTGAGAGGTTGGTCAGCTGGATAACGGGGGTGGAGAACGTGCGCGAGTGTATTCCGATGCCGCGCTGGGCGGGACGCATGTTGTTATAGACTTGTCCCAAAAATGTCATTTCCTCCCATGCTAAGGGCGGGATGTCCCCGTATGGAAAGCGGCGGCCGTCGCTGCACGTCCCCTATTGCCACCACCCCCTGTATCAGCGGCGTCCCGACGCCTTCTGGAACGATCGATTTCTCACGTGGAGCCGACGCCTTCCGTATAAGGTAACGTACCGAGTCACCTCCCGCCCCTTTCCTGCTTCTGGAAGTGCGGAGCCATTACACGACTCACGTGGCCGTCGAGTATAATTACTGCGACGCGACTCGGACGCGCTTCGCCACCTCCAACTTCCTTCCGCCGTATTCGCGATCCTTTTCTTCGTCTTCCTGTGTCATATATCTTTCACATCCTATCCGACATGGTTGCGACACCCACCAAGAAGAAATCTAAGCTTACATATGCCGACAGTGAGTGCTCGTGTATATCACGTGTAGGAGGCGCGTTAACCTGCCCTCTGCTAAGGGGTCGTGCGTGCCCTCTCGGAATACCAGCGCGCCCACAAAAAACACGCTATACACCTTGCTACCCTACGAGCTCAAGGTAATATCCTTCGTGTCGTAGGCTTCTTCATGACTGACGGCCACAAGTAGTGCGCAAAGATGCCGACGCCGACAAGGATCAGCTAGGTGCACAATGGTCACATTGGGTGACTCGTGCCATCAACAAATTGGTGCGAATTACTACCGGCCCACTACCGTATTCAGTGGCTCATGACGAGCGATTCGTAGGTTGAGCAAGACGTCCTGGAGGCTAAAGAGGGCCAATATTACACCTTCACGTCTGAGACCAAGAGGAGGTGCGTTCAGCTTTTTTCTCTGTGTAACGAAAACTCACACACGGCCCTCTAGCTTCGCCGCGGCTCGGCGACAGTCTTTGATTGCACCTGGAACACCATCACGCGTAGACCAGCTTTGGAAGTCTGTCGTTACTGGTACTCATGGAAGTCGCGGTACCAAACGTCGTCATTCTATGGCCGTGGGGGATACGGAAGATTCAGATATCATGGCAAAGTCCATCTCCGCTCGCCGTACAGGCTCTTCCCGGAAGAAAGCTCGCAGGTCTAGCGTCAAAGGAATTTTGAGGATGACGAAGGCAGAGGTATGTCTTGACAGCGTCTTGCTCACAATTGAGTATGACCGGGCCGTGGCCAGCTGCTCGAGGCCCTGCAACATGCTTCAGATGAAGAAGGCGAAGAAGTACGTCGTCTCAGGAAAGAGCTTGCCGCACTCAGACATCAGCTCGAGGACACCCCCTATGACAACTCAATCAGCTCAGCGCTACCATCCTATAGCAGGGGACTAACTCCACTTACCCCCATCCGGCAAGTCATGGCTAGACTGAGTAGCCGGACTATCTAACTAATGCGGTACCGGTTAGGGACACTCCCAGCGCGACCTTACCACAGGCAACAGAGAATGTTGACCTTGCGACTCGCCGTCCTGGAGCTGCAGCCACTCGCGCCGGGTCCGGTTCCATCATCCCCGAGGCGACGCGCCAACCTACACCAGCACCGAGCGACCTCGATGACGACATGAATTTGAACCACGATCACTTCCAACGTGACTCTGATCAAGTCTGTGACCAGCGTACCTTGGGACTAGCGACACCTACGTATACACCACTTGCTCCGACGGCCGACTTACCTTCAGTTGCGGATGAGGAAGCCCGCGCATTGCTTGAAGCGCGGATCGCAGAGCTTGAGAGTTTGTGCAACATCCACGACAGACTAGCCGCCAAGCAGGGGATCTTGTCAGAGGATGTCGCCCTCTGGGAGGATAAGATTTCTGCCCTCCAGACTGAGGTCAAAGAGAAGGACAACTTGCTTGCCGCACAGCAGCAAGACCTCTCTGTCACCCGTCTCGAGGTTCTCCTGCTGCAGAGCGAGGTTTCTACCCTCACAAATGCCCTGCAAGAAAATTCGGCAGCGCTTGTGGACACTCGTAAGGCTCTAGAAGTGAAGGAGAGGGAGATGGCCGCTCTTTCCACCGAGAAGACTCACCAAGAAGCCAAGCTTGCCGAGACTGGGCGAGTCCTTGAAGCGCTTGAAGACGAATACGAGCAGAAGAGGCTCGAGCTCGTCGAAGACGCGGTCGGACTGCAGAAGAAGCTCGCTCTTGCATGCGAGACCGAGGCCTCAATCCAGGCCGACTTCCGGAAGCGCCTGGAAGAGATGTCGGCTCTCGAGGCACGCAACCTAGAGCTGGAGGCCAGTGTGCTGTCTGTCACGGAGCAATTGACCACGGCTCAGGGCGACATTGTCGACCTTATGGCGAGGCTAGCAACCGCTAACTCCGAGATTGCGGTCCTTGTCCAGGAGCGGGATGCTGGAGTCGCGAAGTACGAGACTGCTCGCGACGGCCTTGAAGCGGCACAGGTCTCTATGGAGACTCTCGAGCAGGAGCTCGCCCTGGCCAGAGACAGCGCTGCGCAGAACAAGACCCGGACGACCAACTTGACCGGGGTAATCGCCCTCGCAGAGCAAGATACCGCTTCACTTCGGGAGCAGCTCGATGTGGAGTCGGGCCGTGCTCTAATTCTTGCGGGTGAGAAAGATGCTGCGGTTGCTCAGCTTACCACAGCCCGCAAGGAGCTCGACGACGCAACCTCGCAACTACACGCGCTCTCTGCCAGCTCGGCGGAAAAGGATGCTGCCATCGATAGCCTCGAAGGGCGCGTTTCCTCGGTCCAAAGTCATGTTGCCGATCTGGCCTCGCAGCTCGAGCAGCTCGAGGCGGACAAGAGCGCGCTGCAGCTCGGCGCTGAGGAGCTGAATGGAGCCTTGGCCGCTAAGGACGCCGAGCTCGCAGAGACCAATGCGGCGCTCCAGGTCCAGCAAGAGTCTGCTAGCGAATTAGAAAGGCAGCTCGCAGTTTCGGTCGCGAAGAACGTCGGCCTCACCTCCGAGCTCTCAGCCAAAGCGGGCGCGCTGGAGCTTGTTCGGACCCAGCTCGAGGCTGCCCAAGGGTCGTTGAGCGACTTGTATGCACAGCTTGATCAGTCTCGCCTGGAGGCAGAGGACGCTGGACGCGCGGCTTCGGCACAGATCACCGCCCTGGATACTTCCGTGCAGGCCGCTCGCGAGCAGGTGACGACGCTCCAAGCACGCCTGGAGTCTGCGGAGCAGGGGCATGAAGAGCTCGCGGATCGTTTCCAGCAGAGCACTACCAACCTGGCGACCAGTCAGGCTGCCCTCCAATTGGAGGAGGAACGTGCTGCCTCGCTCGATATGCAGGTGTCTGCCATGGTCGTTGAGAAGGAGACCCTGGTACGGCGACTGGCTGAGTGGGCAAGGACCAAAGCGCAGGACGACGAAACTATTGGTAAACTGAAACACATCGTAGAGCGTCACGAAACGTTCTTCAAAAGGCAGGTTGCCGAGATTAGTCGCGAGGTAAGCTTTGTCAATTGTACGTCATGATATGCTATGATCCTAACCTTGGCCGTTTGTCATCGTTAGGCAACTATCTTGCTACCGGCAAGCCCGCCTCGCGAGGCAAACTCTCTGTAAGCGAAGGAGAGCCGTATTTGTCCTAGTCGAATGCGCCACAGCATGCGAGATTAACGTCAGATAGACTTTCGGTTGGTTATGTTCTCTGGGAGACAAACTGTATCTCGGGGGCGGCAATCTAACACGGCCGCATCTGATGACTACTTACGAAGGACTCGCACAATTCTAATCCTCTGTCTTGGTATTATTTCGCCCAGATAGGCAAAGTTGTACCTTACGTCGAGCTGTACGATGGTATAAACCTTCTCGTTGGCGCATCGGAAATAATTGAGCGGGGTTCGGGCTTGGACTGATAGTGCTTTATGAGCCTGGTGATGTTGTTGCGGGCTGAAGCGAGGCCTCGGGGGCAGGGCCGCATTCCAGCGGAAAGAACTGGTTGGGTACGCCACCGTCCCGAGTGGCGGGGACGTCCGACGGTGCATACTCACGTGCTCTCCTCGTGCTCCACGCGACGTTCGGGTCGCCTTGGCAATTGCCCGAGAGCTCCCCAAGCATGAATTGTTGTCGGCAGTGTTCCATCGAGGGAAAGTTCTGACCGATGTCCCCACCCGCGCCGCTCGCCCGCTCTCGCAGCAACTATCGTCACATCCTCTTCCCTCGCACCGCCGAGTCGTTATCGCCTCCAGCAGCCTGCCGCTGGTTCATTCTGGAACGGGGGCGTACTGCGGCCTGCACCTGAACATATGACGCGGACCTGGCGGGCCTGTGTCATCTGTTCGTCGGATCCCAGGGTCAGCGTCGGACTAGCTCCGGCTGGTTCCGCTTCCGTCAGAAAATGTGTGAGGACAACTGGTAAGCCGCTGTCTGTCGAAACGGATTCCATGACCGGGGAGACTTCCAGAACATATCATGGCTCCGAGCACCGTTCGTTCGTCGATGATGTCGAGCACAGAGCCGGTTTGCCCTGATCGTGCTCGTGCTCGGTGTTCGCTGGGCTTGAATTAAGCAGTTGATTCCTCATTGGCATCAGAGCCGGCGTCGAGACGTCTCGGAGGTCCACGTTCTGCGGGGCTGCAAAATGTTTAACGCTGCCGGTGCATCCGGGACCAGACATATCAACGTTTTGACTGTTCCGTTTGCAGCCTCTGCCGGAGTCTCGTCTCTCATCATCCTCTCATCGTCCTTTCAACGCGGCTCCAGACGGACCGCGATTCAAGGAGCGCTTGTTGATTGTCGCAAGTGTTTGAATCTTCCCCCGACGTAAGGTTTGTTTTCGCTGTGTTTGTATCGTCTTACCCACTCGAGCCGGCCGCAGGGTTGCAACTCACGCTCACAACAGGATCTCGTCTTCCTCGGTTGCCAGGGTGTTGTCATGGTTCGATGCATGTCTTGCGTCAGCCCCATTCCCCATTCTTCCGTCCTATTCTTCTGTCGCATGCCGCCTCCGAGCGGTTCTGCGATAAGCCGATTCAGTCATTGTACCCTGACCATCTGTGACTAGAGATCTAGATACTCCTCGTGCTGGCGAGACGGCTTTTGACTTCACTAACGGGTCAGTGGTGTGATCCTCTTCGTGTCCTTTACCCGAGGCGGAACGCGGTGACTAACTCAGTTGCCCTTCTCCAGCGGAAAACCTCGCGCTCGCGCTTATGTATACACTCGCCCGCGAGAACACTTTAAAGGCGCGTCCCACAACGTCAGTTGGCTCTCACAACACCTCTACTTTCCAACATAACTATATTCACCACGGCCGACCCAACCAGAACCCCGCTTCCCATGTTCAAGCTTCCGACTCACCTCGAGGAGCTTATACCTCCCCCAAGCCAGCAAGTGCCGCAAGGACAGCCGTGGCGGGGTGCACTCTTTCTCCCAGCCACCAGTCCATCACCGAGGGGTTCTCACCAGGAGCTTCGATGCACGGCAGCAGAGACCGGGGGAGACAAGTGAGTTCGCAAATCTGTTCCCCGAAGCAGATTAGCTTATGTGCAGAAGCAGCCAAGCGGAGTTGTGGCCGCCGGCCTTCTATGTGCAGCTGTTAACACCACGGCCCCTCCTGCCTCAATTTCTCGAATGGTTGAAGAACCATCACCCCCCTATGTCCATGTTCATGGCCGACCGGCTGCCTGACCCGGCAGCGCAGCGGGCGAACCAGACTGCTTTCGAGGCTCTAGTCACGGCACTGATGCAAAGCCAATCTGTAAGTTCTCCCGAGCTTGAGACGCGAAGGACAGATTAGTTGATAGACTTGGCATAGGTGGCTGTCCTACCGTGGAATGTTCCGGATAGGCTCCCAGGCGCAGGCATCATCCTGTTCCCGACGGGTACTTCGCGGAATTTGCTCGTCGGCGCCCTCTTCCTGAACACCAGTTTCCCCGAGTTCATCGCCAGCGCGAATGTGCTTCCACGGTCTGCACCCTACAGCCCAACCTCCGGAGATTCCCCATATGATCCCGCCCCGCCTAATATTGCTGCTTCGCAGCGTCATACTCAGGCTCCCAGCGGCCAGTCTCGCTATTCGTCATAGAGAGATTCGCTCGCAATCTCTCTGCTGCGGCTGGCAGAATATGCACACAATACCCGAGGGTTCCGCTATCAGCTAGGCAGTTCCCACTCGATTTTTCCCCTCTCTTTTTTCTTTTTCTTTTTTCTCAGAACATCACCCTCGCCGTTACTAATGGCACCTGTAGCATTATTTTTGTATCACTAGGAGTGCCAGTACTTTCGTTATTTTTTTTTCATTTAGAGAACTTTTCTCCGCTTGTTACATAGACATTCATACCCTTCTTCGCAACACCGCCTCGTGTATCCTCAGTCGGTCGAACCGCCGCATTGTAGCAATAGACTATACTCTTTATTAGACTTAGTGTTTCGGCGCCCTTTCGCGAGCCTACCCGGCCTTTCCCCCCACATAAACATTTTAGCTTTTCGCGTCCGTGTCTCCACCAGATAACCGTCCCATATTGTCATCGTCACTCGTGACAGTCCCATTTTGATTTATTCGTTCGCCTCCCGTCCACGCGAGTATGGGCGCTAATATATACTACATCTTGTCTCCTCGCTTCCGCTTGCTCTAGTTGGACTATACACTCGGGACAGCTGTTTTCTCTGGACCACTCCGCCATAATTTGCTCCACACAATACCACTATTGTAAATAATGGCCAGCTCAATGCAAACGTACCTAGCTGCGAAATACATGTCAGGCCCAAAGGCCGACGCGATCCTTGCGCGAACACCTACTGAGGACCGGCCCAAGAAGAAGAAGCGCAAAGTCGCGGCGGCGTCTTCGTCCTCCGCAGTCTCGGGTATGATCAAAGACGACGACGTGCTCGGCTGGGGTGATGAGCCGAAGGACGAGGTGGAAGACGGCGCAGACGCAGTGGTCGCGGAGGACCGCAGCTTCAAGAAGCGACAGCGGACGGAGGACGGTGCAGGCTGGGCCACCGTGCGCGAGCCGACGCCGCCGCCGCCTGCAGACGAGCAGCCGCAGGTCGTGGAGGAGGAGACGCCGTTCAAGGGCGGGCTACTGACATCCGACCAGCTGAAGAAGCGGCTACCAAAGGCAGGGGGACCGAAGGCCCAGCTCACGCAGGAGGAGATCGCGGCGGCTCAGGAGACAGTGTATCGTGACGCATCAGGAAGGAAGGTTGATGTAGCGGCAGAACGGGCGGAGGCGGCGAGAAAAAAGAGGGAGGCGGAGGAGAAGGAGGCGAAGAAGAAGGAATGGGGGAAGGGCCTCACGCAGCGTGAGGAAGCGGAGAAGAGGAGGGAGGAGCTTGAAGCAATGCACAGTACCACCTTCGCGAGGACAATAGATGACAAGGCGTTAAATGAGGAGCTGAAGCAAGAGGACAGATGGAATGACCCTGCGGCTGCCTTTTTGACGGTCCGTCCTTTGCTCCCTACGGCATGGTTGTGCACTGACTGACGCGTCCTGCGTTCTTAGAAGAAGAAGTCGAAAGGACCGAAACGGCCAGAGTACACAGGACCTCCGCCTCCGCCAAACCGGTTCGGCATCAGGCCAGGATACAGGTGGGATGGTGTAGGCAAGTCACGCTCCGTACTGTCTGCATGTCTATGACTGAATTGTTCGATTTCAGATCGTAGCAACGGCTTTGAAAAGAAGCTTTTCCAAAAACAAAACGAGAGGAAACGACGTGGTGCCGAAAGTTACGAATGGGGCGTCGACGATATGTAATAAATGTATTTTATTGCTCAAGATACTCTGCCAAGATTATTAACACTTGCATACGGTTTGGACGCTCTTCTCACGAATCTCGCACGCTTCCTGCTTCTTGCGCACACCATCGGTTTTCACTTGCTTCGTTTACGCGCCCACGTAACACTGTATACTACATGTCTATTCGTTATGCATATGGTAAAGTTAAGGTGAATGCAAACAGTGATACAGGATATGGATGGGTGAGGGTCGGTGATTTATGAATGTCAATCTCACATAAGTATAGATAGCCTCAACTTAGCATCCTCTAGCTCGGCTTTGGTTTGCGCCAGTTTTGCCTGGATATGTGCGAGCTCTGCGCGGAGGTCCTCTTCAACATGCTTATTGAGGGGTCCGGGCTGCATCTCAGCATCCTGTGCATCCGTTTGAACTGCCTTGTCTGAAGTCTACATGGGAAGATGAGTATAATGTCAATCGTTTATTCAAGAACTTTGTAGGAAATATACCGCTCTGTTTCGAAGCACAAATCGTTTTATGCTCGGGTCATTCTTGAGCAAGTCCACGATAGTCTGCGCACCGTGTCGCAAGGCTTCAGACTGCACTAGCTGTCCTATCGGGCTCGTTGTGGCAGGTCCTGGCTGCTCTCTGTGAGTTCGATTGCAGAAAAGGGCAAAAAAGCAGAAAAGACCTGGGCTGCGCTGGCGTTCATGTTCGCATGCGGCTTCCTTCTTGAGCGAAAGGTGTAAGCGGTCTCTTCCACGTGGCCGTCATTTGTTTGGATCGGAGGCTGTTGCCAAACAGACATCCGAATCCGGACGACCGTCATCTCCCAAGTTCCCGCCGGCAGTCGCGAGTCGGAGGACGGACTCTTGCTCAGCCAGGTCGCCCGCATGTACGCGAACGATGCGATACATCACATCCCACAGCCTCCCCACAGCGCGGGCGTTGCGTACAAAGGCAAGGAAATGTATCCACAGAATATTGACTTCGGATAACTGACACGACCACGCACTGGACGCGCAGGTCTGCGAGCCGCGATAGACCCAACCCAGATCCCCTCTCCCATCGAGGTCGTTGAAGCAGACCGTGAAGTATGGGAAGGCAAAACGTACATGACTCTCCCTGGCAATCATGCCCCATTGTCCACCACCAACTTCGTGGCAATTGACCAAGGTCGGTCTTTTGAGCTCTCGAGATGACGCTCATTCACGCGGGCATAGGCAACTCATCCCCCAAATATGTGCGTATGTCGACATGGAACATCCCAAGTACCTCTCGGCTCGCCTCCGAATGTGAAATCCCCATTGCTGCGGTGATACAGCCCTTCGTCGAACTGGGCCCTCGAGAAGAGCCTGTCCCACTTGTCGACTTTGGCGAGATGGGTCCTCCACGCTGTTCAAAATGTAGGGGTTATATCAACCCTTGGTGTACATGGGCGGCAGGCGGGTACAGATGGAAGTGTAATTTGTGCTCCCATGAAACGGATGGTGCGTCATATATAACCTAATTACGGATACTATTCTCAGCAATATTGCAGTCCCTGGAGAGTACTTCAGCAATTTGGATGCCAACTTCCTTCGGCTAGATCATCTGGAACGACCTGAGTTGAACAAGGGCACCATAGATATCGCAGTATCACGCGAATACTGGGCGCCGCACCCTCCCCCACGAATCAAGCCTTTGTACCAACCTGTCGCGTCGATGCCCGAGGCAGGTCACAGGCAGCCACAACCTATGGACTATGTCTTTGTGATAGAGACGACGGCTGATGCAATACGGTCTGAGTTTACTCGAAAATCTTGTGAAGCATTAGCCCGAACGCTGTACGGGGGCGTCTCAGAAGAGGGCACACCAGCCGAGCCGTGTTTTCCTGCGAACATTAGAATGTGTCTCATTACGTTCGATCGTACATTGCAATTCTACAACTTCACCGTGAGTGTGGCGGCTATTCAAAAGGACCTTCCATGGGCCGTGATTTTAACAACACGAACTCTTAGTCGAATCCGGACCGTGCCACTATGATGGTTGTAGCGGATCTTGACGACGTGTTTATCCCTATTGCAGATGGGCTCTTTGCTGACCCTGCCCGTTCGCGGTACGTGCTCGCTTCCCGTTCGAGCACGACTGACTCTGACGTATTGTTGATAGAGCAAGTATAGAGAACGTGCTACGGACACTCCCGGACCAGAATGCGGAAACTGCATCCTATGATTCTGCTCTTGGCGCAGCGCTCATAGCAGCCATGGCTACACTTGTCAGTGCTTTTTCCTTTTATAGGATCTGGGACCTAGGCTTAGTCTTCAACTGCAGGTAGGCCGGGGAGGACAAGTCGTCATGTTTGCAAGCACACTGCCGACGGCCGGTCCCGGTGCCCTGAGGCCTCGAGAAGACGAGTCTGCGCTGTATGACACAGACAAGGAGATGTCTCTGTATGCGCCTCGGGATCAGACATGGAAAGACATCGGCGAGCAATGTGCTGACGAGGGTATCGGCGTACATATGTTTCTGGGACCTCTTAAGCCTATTGATATAGGAACTATTGGTGAGCTGAAGGCTTGGTCTCTGTTGTCTCGCACGACTCATTGGGCATAACCAAGGCGCTACGAGTTCGCATTCTGGCGGCGAACTCTTTTTCCATCCTCGCTTCGATCCTATCCGAGATGGCATTGCGATTGACTCGCAGCTACGACGAGTTGTCTCTCGCTTCACGGGGTACAGTTGCGCCATGAGGGTGCGATGCTCAACAGGTGAAAACATCTGTTCTCTCTCGCCTTAGGATACTTATCTGGTATCAAGGCCTTCATATTTCCAAGCAGTACGGGAACTTCTACGAGAATGCTTCGAACGACCTCCAATTTGGAACCATGGACGCGGATAAGTCTATCGTCGTAGTGTTCGCTCACGGTCATACACTTGATGATAGAAACTATGCCTTCGTGCAATCAGCCGTGCTGTACACGACGATCACAGGCGAACGACGCGTTCGTATCTGTAATGTCGCACTGCAGGTCGTGTCCTTGGCGGGTAACGTATTCCGCTTTGCGGACACGGATGCAGTCGTGACAGCGATGATACGAGAAGGTACGTCCAATCGTCTTGATATTATCTTCGCTACTGAGCTCTAGCAGCCGTCTCGAAATTATCCAGCCAGAAAATTTCGTACATTCACGAAGAGCTGACGGAAAGATCCGCCTCTATCTTACTCGGATACCGGAAGCATTGTGCAGCGGCGACCGCACCATCGCAGGTAGCGGCATCTCTTCGTCTTTTGGAGGTCTCCTCATCATGGCTACCAGTTGATCATTCCAGAGGCATTTCGTGCACTGCCTGTGTACACTTTGGCAATGATGAAGATTCGTGCGCTGAAAGGTTCGTCGTCATTTGGCTGATTTCTAACGAGTAACATGCTGAGATATGACAGCCCGGAGTGTCAGTTCTGACGTCAGGAATTACACTGCGCACAGGCTCATGTCTATAAGTGTACGGAGCACGATGCATCATCTGTATCCAAGATTACTGGCGTTACATGATCTGGATGACGTGATCGCTCTTCCAAAGCCTGACTCTGGCGAGGTTGAGCTACCATCGTTAATGCGAGACAGTCATCTGTTCATGGAGGGACATGGTTTATATTTAATCGGTGAATACGAAGCAGCAGTGCGCAGCAGGCTGACTGACACATTTCCCTGTAGACAACGAAGAGACTATGATCCTCTGGATAGGATACAGCGTATCGCCGCAGGTCCTGCAAGATTTACTCGGAGTAGATGATATTAACGACCTCGACCGCAATATGGTGAGCGTTACATCCAAGGGTGAGCGTATCAAATAACAGACGGCTGTGTAGAACTGCCTCCCAGTGCTCAACACGCGGCTGTCCACTCAAGTGCGAAATGTCTTGGCGCATCGTTTTCGCCAACAAGGCAGGAAGCTCAAGTTCACCATTGCTCGGCAAAACATGGATGGTGCTGAGATTGACTTTGCTGACATGCTCGTCGAAGACTCAAACAATGGCGCCATGTCTTACCTAGATTGTTCGTGTTCATGCCACTGCGACCATGCGCTTGAGGGCTGACTATCTTTCAGATCTATGCGTTGTACACAAGCAAATTAGCACTGTGGTGAGTGTTATGCGCTCTCAAGCTGCGTTCCTGACCAACTGATTGTGCTGTTGAAGCTAACCACTGGCGCGTCCTTGTCTGGACCGAGTGGTTTTCGCGGATCTATTTGGTGATCGGCAGGTCGGGTCAACCTTGCAGCTTGCAGGAGGGGTGATAACCATGGAGACCTTCTTTGACCGATCATAGGCTCGTGTACTACGTCTTAGTTATTTACTCAATGATACCGAGTATTTTGCTCTACTTTTTACCCCTACCATCCTTTCCTTTCCCCACTGCTACGACTCCCGAAGCGTCTGATTACGAAACGCCGTCACGGTGTCACGTGTGACTCTGGTTAGTTGGGGGCGTGTCGGTGGGCGTTCGTAGTCCCTCGTTCAACATTGGCGACGACCTCGCCGACGATGGCCACCTTCTCTGATGGTGTCGACGTCGACGCCTCATCCAGCATTGCCGATTACTCTTCTTTCCATGATTCTGATGGCGACGTGCGCGAGCTCCTCCAGAACCTTCTGGACAGCAAGGAGAAACAACTCCAGCAGGCTGGTGAACTTGGACAGCAGCTACTCACGCAGCGCGTGGAACTAGAAGAGAGGATCAGGCAGTTGCAGGAGCTCGACCTCGAGGGCGACGACGGTGACGATTTGCGGGACCACTACCGCGAGTTGACGGACACCATCAAGGCTTGGGACGCAGAGAATGAGCAGTTGTCAAGCATCTTTCTTCCCAAGGTACGTCTTTCTGGCTGCCGGAGACTGGGCTGGAACAGTGGCATGCAGCATACCAATGGTTTCTCGACATCGCCCCCGGCCGAGCTCTCGCGGGGTGAGGTAGAACGGACAATGGAGCGGGCAAAGGCGTCTGCGAATGGCACAATCGCAGCTCAATCTTCACGGCGCGCCAAGAATGCAGCTCATCGCGCGGACGATGTCGGTGTGTGGATTGACCACCTGTTGTATGGCGCTAGAAGCTCAGAATGTATCTATCAGAATTTGCCTTCGAGATTGGCAGCGGGCTGCTGTCCGAAGTGCGCCGGCTCCAAAGTTTGCTTGCCGAACGGGACAAGAATATGCAGGATCTGAAGGAGGAGAGAGACGACCTTGAGAAGACGATCGAAAGCCTGCGTGAGGCTCTGCGCCAGCAAGAACAGTCCTCCGACAAGTTCAGAGAAGAGAACTGGAACTTGGAAGTCACACTTCAGGAACTCCGGACCCAGCTGGCCGAGTCTCAAGCGGCCACTCAGCGGCTAGAGAGCGAGCAGAAGCGTCTTACAAAGCTGCTTACCACTACGCGAGAGGCTGTCGACCTTCACAAGAACGAAGCGGAACGCCACCAAAATGCGTACGAAGAGCTGAAAGCGAAGCACGAGACCGATGTCGCTCAAGCTCGCCGGCATGCCGCGGGTTTGCAGCGTGACAAGTCCGACCTACAGCAGACTGTTGACACCCTGAAAGCGGAAGTGACTAAAGTGAGCAAGAGGCTGCCGCGTTTCGGGACGCCTTTCACTCCCAATGGCGCTCTGTCCTCTGCTGCCCAAACTCCTGCTCTCGACGAGGATGACATCTTCAGTACTGGTGGTGCCTCTACGAACAATAGGAAGAAGGTGGACAATTCGGCCCTTTTCCCTCCCGAAGGCTTCGACAACTATGACTCAGACCCCGAGGACTCTCCCTCTCGTCCGTTCATCGCCCCGAACCATCCCACGAACGAGATCGAGGCTTTGCAGCAGCGGTTGGCACATGCTCAACGACAGATCAATACTCTTAAGGGTTCCTTGCAGCGCGAGAAGGAGCTGCGTATCGAGTATAAGCGCAAGCTAGATTCAACACCCGGTCCCAAGTCGGACGACGATGAGGAGCCTGAAGGAGAGGAAGAAGAAATGTTCCCGTCCGTCGAAGAGTCCAAGCCAAAGGCTCGTTTGACCTCATTCCGAGTGGGCAAGACGGCGAAGGGTGCTCGCAGGGGTCGTGGCGGTATGACTCTGCTCCAGCGGTTGGCTGCTCAGAGCCCTGGCTCGGAATATGCCGACGAGGACGACCTTGATCCCTCACAGTCAGTGCCTCCTTTACCTCTCAAGCCTGGCGATGAGGAGCACGCGCTGGAACTGGCCGAGGATGACGATGAAGATTCAGAGCTCCAACGTTCCCCTTCGACTCGCCTATCATCCAAGAGGACAAGTGTTGACGGCATGGATCCTGCTTTCGCCAACGTAATGCGTCGTTCGAGTTCTGGCCGTTCGGGTCCCCATGGTGCAAGCCCTCTTCGTCACTCGATACTCTCTCGATCCGCTCGTGGTAAGCCGCACTCCCGGCGCAACCGCGGAGGAGCGGCTTTCCAAGAGGCGCGTCCACCTTCATTCGCAGTCGAGCCTGAGGCGTTGGCAAACGAGCTTGGCCAGCTTGGTTTCTCAACTCTGGAGAATACGTTTGAGCTTCCGGAGCCTACAAGGGAGCTTGTTGAGATAGCGAGCCAGACTGACAGTTTCGAGGAGCTGTCCGTTCCTCAGGTCATTGTACAGTCACCAACCCTCCCCCAAGTGGCACCGAACCTCCCGTCAGTCTCCGAGATGGGCATCCAGGTAGACCCCGAGCCAGCGTTCGTTCCATCGAGATTCGATGCCTCCTTGCAGACCGACGAAGAGCCAGCTCCTCCCGCTCCCGTTCACACCGAGACTGCGATACAGCACGAGGACCTTACTCCCCGACCTCTGCTAGTTTCCGCGGGAATATCTACTGATCCTTTACCAGAGCCTGAGCCGATGCCATTGCCTGAGCCTATTCCGGTGTCCGTCACCACCAATGCTGTACAGACCGAGCCAGAAGCGGTGCTCGTGCGCCCGGCCCTCTCGACAAGCGCAAGTCAGACGAATTCGCAATGCCTGGCGGATGTGGATGTTCAGACCACTCCAGAAGTCGCTGTCATCAAGCACGATGTAGTGACCCAGACTTCACAATGGGCTGACGAGGTCGATACTGTCCCCGAGCCGGTTGTTATCAAGCATGACGCGGATGTCCAGACTTCTGCTGCTGCTGCTGCTGCTGCTGCTGTGGATGCTGCTACACCCGTCGCCAAGTATGATGCAGATACCCAGACGCCTTCTCCTGTCATCGCGGACCTGCCTGCTGTTTCGGAAGAAATCGTCATTAAGCACGATGCCGACACACAAACGCCTGCGCCTGTGCCGCTATCGGAGGCGCACACGCAGACCATCGCGGTCTTCACTTCGGAGGCTGACGTTCAGGTGCAGTCCGAGATGTCTACTCCGCGGATGCCTCTTCGTCTTCGATCCTTCGCCGACTCAGTGGTCGGTAACTTCAGTGGCGACTCTACTATCACCAGCGGCCTTGCCCATCTGGCTGCGGAGCAATCCTTCGACGACGATGACGTTAGGACTGAAACGGGTACCATTGCTGCGACAGACATGGATGACTTCGTTGATGCTCGCCAGACCCCCCTTCTGACGCCGACTGAGTCGACGGACGATTTCCTTTCAATCATGACGGTCACAGACAACGACTTTTCAGATAGCGATGATGAGAGTATCAGAGCATCCCGCTTGTCTAGCCGTCAGGTGTCTGCCTCTGGTTCAACATCTCAGCTTCCGTCTCCCGGGGCTCCAGTCCCCTCACCGCGTACGTACGAATCGGTCGGGGTGTCTGCTGAGCTTATCGAGGAGAACATTCCGGAGGAGCCGACAGTCTCTGCGGTCATCCTGCCTGCTCCCAAACCTGAGTCGAAGGAGACGTCTATTCAGACCGACGAATGGCTTCCACCGCAACCTGCATCTCCCGCTCCACCGTCTCCTGCTCCCACTTCTTCACCCACCCTATTCCGTGTTGGTCCACCTTCTCAGCAATTCCAATTCATTTCGCCACCATCTTCTGCTGGGCCAACCACGTCTTCACAACAATTCATCACCACTCCTTCTACTTCCGCTACCAACGTACGGGATACTGCGTCATCACTCATCCCATCGCTTATCTCGCGCCCCCGCACGTCGCACTCAGATCGCAGACAATCGATCGAGTCGACATTGTCTTCGGCTCGTGAGGAAGCTTTGGCTCGCTCGCGTACACCATCGACCGTCACTTCAGCTACTGTGGACAAATCTCGCCCACCGATGATGATCATACCGCCACCACCGCGCCAGCCGCCCCCCGGTGCTATGCCACCACCGGCGTTCATCCCGGAAAAGCGGCAGCCCAAGACTTCTACTGCTTCACAAGATGTGCCACCACCTCGTCCCTCCTCGCCTCCTCCTCCTGAACTCATCCAGCGTGCTACGACGCCAACCTTTGGACAGATCCTAACCGTTCCCGGAGCGAGGCCTTTCGGCTTGCGCCATCACCCTTCCAGCGTCGTCTCTTCCCAGAGTGGTATTCGTCAACCACCGTCGACCCAGAGCTTCCATTCAGTCCCGACCGGTCGCCCTGTGCTATCTAGTCCGTCCTCGGTCGCGCAGAGCATACGCGAGCGAGAGGGTAGAGGGGTGTCCACGACATCGCTCACGTCGGGTGGCCACAGCCTGGACTCTCAGCGCTCTTCCGTCTCTTCCGAACATCTGGAGTACGACCAGACGCCACAGAGATTGACTAACGTGCTCGCTCCCGCTCCACGTGGACCGCCTGGCGGTGCCACCGACCCAACAATTATACATGCTATTACCCAGACCATGATTGGCGAGTTTTTGTACAAGTACACTCGGAAAACGATTGGCAAGGGTCACGGCGAGCGGAGGCACAAGAGATTCTTCTGGGTTCACCCGTATACTAGAACATTGTATTGGAGTTCGGCGGATCCTGGATCATCCAACGTTTCTGAGTCAAGCGCGAAGAGTGGTAAGTGCTACTAATATCAATACGATCTTCAACTATCTGATGCCCCTGTCCAGCATATGTAGAAGCCGTACGCTTTGTGATTGACCCGAATCCCGTGCCACCCGGTATCTATCAGTATAGTATCATTGTCTCGACCCCCCAGCGAGAGATGAAGTTCACAGCACCCACCAAAGAGAGGCATGACATCTGGCTGAGCGTAAGCGTTATGTATCCGCCCTTTCTGTTGCGTGGACTAACGTAGCTATCTGCAGGCTCTCCAATACTTGCTTACGAGACCAGATCCAAATCCTGTGTCATCTCCGAGCCAACAGCCCAATGGTCTCACTAGCCCCGTGTCCCTTGAGGCCGAGCTACCGGACAATGACGGTCAGCAGCAGCGACCGAAGGCTTTTGCTAGCCCGCAAAGCCAGCGTAGCGTGAGGACCAACGGAACAGGTGTCAGCGCCGATTCCTGGAACTCTACGCCTCGTGGTCATCGCAGCGCTTCGCAATTGTCACATCATAGATCGACGTTGGCCAAGCGTTCTGGTACCCCCGCTGCGGAATATTTGCGGTGGAACGGACCCGACACTCCTTACAGTCCTTCGCGGGACTTCGAGCACGTGCCTAGTCCTAACGCGGGAGAGCTTGACTTTGAGCTACACGAGGACACTCTGTCAGACGAGGGCTTCCAAGGCCTGGAGAATGTCAGGGCGTGCTGCGATGGACGGCACACGGTCGGTCCGGCAAGCAAAGAGCACCACCACCACCACCATCACCACCATCCGCCGGCATCCGCACCACCACCGCAGGCTCTCAACAACCGAATAAGAGATCACCTCGATCCGAACCCGCAAGAGATCACTCGGCCTATCTCTCCAGCATGGTCATTCCGTTCTCGTGCAGGGAGCACGCACTCGACCGAGGGCACAGGCTTCTTCTCTCGCTTCGGGACCCGGCGGTCAGCTCGAACCACGGCTTCGGAGCACACGCGCCGATAGTCACTGCATGTGTTTTTTCTTCTTCTCGATCCCTACTTGGTTGTTCGCTGTTTATTCATGCTGAAGCTACTACACTCCTTTATAATTGAACACTCCCGGTATCCTAGTACCTCCCGTGTTCGTTATCTATGCAGTCTGCCATCATTTTTATTATGTGCGAGTATATTCGCTCTCCCACTCCTTCGCTTTTCTGGTCTGGCATTATTGAACAACGATATAATTCTCTCTTAGCTCGGAGGCACTGTCTGGTTGTTTAGGAATCATGTACAGTATCTATGATAGCTCCGAGAAATGTTATATACACTAGGCGCAAGTGCCACTAGCTAGAGCCATGTCCAGACTAAGAGGACAAGTCCAGTCTGAGGTCCTGGCTCTGTTTACATGCGTGCATGAGCGAATGCCCAATTTTTGAAAAGGTGGTCCGACAAATTCGGCGACACTGCTCGCCGCAGCGATCTTGCGTTGCAACAGCCATCCATCGCACACTCAGTCCCCTCACGACCGGCGCAGATCGAGCCAGTGTTGAGCCTCAAATGCCACGCCGAGACACTACCCGCGATCGTCGCAATTGATATCACACGTTGTTGCATTCGCTCTAGGGTCCCGCATTGCAAAGGGCGTGAAGGTCTAGGCCACACAGCACCTCCAAAACTTGATAATATGCCTGCGCATAGATGTTTAGACGTTATACGTGGGACAACGAAAAAGCCGCAGGGGAAGCCGACATCGGTGTAGAGAACGCAGCCTCGTTCCGCCTTTTAGCTCGGACTTGTGCGATCGGCCGTAGTCTGCGCGTCGTTAGCATCCCATGACAGCATCTACATACAGGCCAGATAGTGTGCTGGGGGGACGTGTCGGCTGTGCGCCAAACCTATGATAACAGGCGAAGCACCGCCTGGCCGTCGCCCCCTCTTACAGTTATCTCATGCCGGACACTGTTCCACCACGCCTTCGCAGGGACCGGTGACAGGTCCTCCTGCGTCTTCAGCTGCGCGCGAGAGAGAGAGAAAAAGTGTGGTCAGCGCGTACACTCCCGTCGTATTCAATGTTAGCGCGCACCTCCGGGACAACGAGCAGCGTGTCCGCCGCGCAGCGAATCGCGAGCATGTCCGTCAGCGGGTCGTACCACGCCATCCCTGGGTCCGACAGCCGATGCAGCAGCGAGCGCGGCGGGGGCTCGTACGCCGCCGGCGCGTGCAGCCGCACCGTCCTGCGCGTCCTTGTGCGGGCCATCAGTGGTGTCTGTGGAGGATTGCACGGCTTCTTTTAGTACACAGTCTGCTGGGCGCGTGACGTGCAGGCGCGGGACCTGCCTGGTGGGAGATGGCCCTGTGTCTGCGCACGACGTCTTGGGCGGTCATCGTCGAGAAACGGACGAGGGCGTCCCTGGGTGTGATCGCAGGGGCACGACGCGTGTTGAAGTCGTCCAGCTGGTGTCGTGCTTCGGCCTGCGACGTGCCAGTCGTCAGACCGGTTGTGTGGATGCTTGAGACGGGACATGACACACCGTCCCGTTGATCATGTTCCGCAGCACACTGACCAGCAGCTCGCCGCCTTGAGCCGCGAGAGTACTCTGCAGCGTCCGAAAGTCCGTTCCTCTAGGTACAGGCTATGGCACATACAACCCTCCACTCAGTCCTCACATCATATCCAACAAGCATAGTCAATAACTCACCACTCTCGCGCGCCCCCACACGTCCCCGGAGCCGACGGCGCCCTCCTCCTCCGCCTCCGCCATCTCGATCACGCACACGCCGGTCTCCGTCTGTCCGTCGAGCAGCGCATGCTGTATAGGTGCGGGGCCGCGGTACATCGGCAGCAGCGACGGGTGGACGTTGAGCCGCCTGCCCGGGGCGAACTTGCGCAGGAGGCCTGTCGGGAGGATGGGGCCGAAGGCGGCTGTGACGAGGAGACGCGTTGGCGGCGGCGGCGGACGCGTCCGGAATGGAGGAGGGGGCTGTAGTGGTGTACGGTTGGTCAGAGGCCGCGGTCGGGCAGGAGAGAAGACTGACGGGACCTGCCAGCGTTCGAACGAGGGTTCGTCGGACGGGAGTTCGTGCACTGGGAGGCGAAGCTTTTTCCCGAGAGTCTTCAGCGGTGCTGTTGTCAGACCAAATTTAGTCTGCGTGTTGGTTTAGGCGATGGGACGCGTACAAACAGGCAGGACATCGGAGTCGGGCCTGGCCGCCCTCATGTCAGGCTGCGTGGCGATGTGAATCTTCTGCCATACGTCTGCGATCTACGTGAGCAGAGGACAACGACAGTGGCCGTAGAGACTGACCGCACGCATCGTAAAGCTGCTGCAGTAGCATACAGGAGAACTCGTCGCGTCCGAAGAACAGGATGTCAAACGGCTGCCCGGGAGGCTCGGTGCGGATCGTGCTCGAAAGCTTAGACAAGGAGCGGCGGAGGACGAGCCTGGTACATGTTCGTGGATGTCTGTGAAATGTTGCGCGGAGCATGAGACGACCAAGGCTGTGATGCTGCGAGGAACCTGGCAGAGAAACAACCGCAGGAAAGCGAACCCTGCGCGCTAATTCAGGCGCATCAAAAATTATCGTTCAGCCAGAATAGGAAAGGCCGGGTTCCATGACGGCGCCTCGTCCCCAGTGCTGTATAGCAGATCTGCCGTGCTATTTGTGGGACGAAACGCTGACTGTAG